ATATTGGTCTTGTCTGTGCTATTTCTCGTGTGCTATATCCATTCCATAACAAGCAAACCACCCCATTATCTGTCAATGATGATGAGCTTCAATGCACTTCTGCATTTATAAATTAAACTGGTTGCTCCATTATAATCCGCCACAGCCAGAATATATATTCTTGGTGCTCTGCTTGCTATTGACTAAGGCGACATCAACCGCATCACCTTTATATTTTAAAGATAACTCCACTAAGCCAGTACAAACACTACCTTCAACCATCGACTATTCACGGATCTGCGTTTTGATGGTAACTGGGTTCACATTCGGTCTAGACATTTCATCAGCAACTTTCATTGTAAAAAAAACCCCGACGATGATAGCCTTACCTTGCCATGTCTCTCGCTGGCATACCAATGTCCACTGTATGAAACAAAGGGCTTTGACACGGTCAGGGTACCCTGCCCATGCCTCACCCCATTCTCCACGTTGCCAGTGTACTTGTTTCCATCTGGCCATTGGTAGGTGCCATGTCCCACCATTGCATTCAGCCAAAAGTCACCCTGTGAATTAGTTATATTGGTGAGATGTTGATATCCATAAACTGTGTTTTTAATTGGTGAATGCAAATGTTTCATCTGCAGCTGTTGCTGCTGCTTCTGCTACACAACCCACTTTGTCTAAATTTTGACTTGAAAAAATAATAATAATAAACGCCACTTTTTTCAAAAAAAATTGCTGTGGTTTTTCACACCTAATGATGATTGCTTGTGTTGCAGTCGAAACGTCGTGAGAATTTTATTGTTTTATATTTTTATTATTTTATTGTTTCCCTTCTACGTGACTTTACCGAAAGAACCAAGAATACTTAAGTGCTGTATGCTTTGTGTGCATATAATGCATTAATATAAATCTATATTTAAATATAGTACCTCAAACTCCACACCATCTGCCCAAACATACTTTCCTTTCCCGTGCATCATATTGTTGCAGAAGGAACCCTGTAACACACATGTCAAACCATGAGGGGGTCCTTTATATCACGAACACAATTCCTGCTGGAATAATCATCATACATTTATACTCTTTGGTTCTTTCGGTAGTCACCTTACCATAGAAGTTCAGTCACCCACGTGGTGACTTTACCATAGAAGTCCAGTCACCCACGTGGTGACTTTACCATAGAAGTCCAGTCACCTACGTGACTTTACCATAGAAGTCCAGTCACCTACGTGACTTTATCGAAAGAACCAAAGAGTATGGATTCCTGCAGTCACGAAAGCTTCAAATCAAGATAATCATACATTTGTTCTAAGCCTGCATGATTTATTCAGGTGCAGTTTAATCATTTTTAATTGTAATTTATTAGAATGAAATTTAATTTATTTGCATCGTCGGTAATACGCTATAAAATGTGCAATTGATTTAAATAAAATACACTTTTATTAATAGTACTTTGTTTTGCATAAATTGCATATATTAAAAGTTATGTATATTTTTCGAATCGAAATTTATGATTAGTTATCCAGCGATTAAATAATATATTTATTTCTTTTTGTACTTACGCTATAGACATTACCACCTTGGTAAAAGACTTTTACTTGATCTTCACTCTCATCTGTGACTTCGAATCTATAAGAAAAAATAGCAGAGATGATGACGCTCGGAGATAAGCAATTCACTGATCCGACAATACCGGCATGTACATTCATAAGATCCTTTAGAGCTTGCAGTAAAATTATACGACAAACTTGGACCAGCTGTGTCACTACAGTTACACGGAGTTTAAGGATGCCCTTGCATGCTACGACATACATATGGTTGTTTTATTGCTGCAATACATATAGATGATGACTAACTTATGTCATTTGTATGTTCTAGTCGAAGCCAACGTTATGTCCTGTTCAAAGAAGCATTGAGGCGGTGCTCATATCCTTTTTTACAGCCATAAACCGGTGGAGGAAATTCCACGTTTTTTTGGCAGGATCAAATCTATCCATTTAAAAACCACCATTGAATTGGAACTTTTACTCCTACTTTATAACTTCTACTTTATTTTACCAGGTAAGGCCCACAGAGCTATGTAGCTCTTTTTCAGAAGCGACCTGGCCACAAATGATAGCTCATCGAAGTGGCTTATCACATGGAAATTTATAGTGGCCAAATACTCATAAACGCGTGTTGATTATAAATGTGGAGCGAAAAACCGGAGGATCCAGAGAAAATTCCATGTGACCACGGAGAGAGAGACACGAAGACTCCAAATATACAGGGGTCAAATTAGGGATCGAACCCACGACCTCCTGTATACCAGGCAGGGGAGTTAACATCTCACTGCTATAGCCACCGTGACTTATTAGTAAATATCTTGATTGTAAGCTTTCGTAAATACCATACAGTTGAAGGATGGGTCCGAAGATTGATTATTATTTATTATACCACTCCACTCGTTTACACAGGAATGCTTCGCCGAGTCTCAGCTCTCTTTCTAGAGAGTGCTGCTATGTTTTCACAATTGCCATGTTTCCCAATCAATAAATATGTTTTAGGAATACAAAATTGCAAATTTAGCCCATACGACGCTGGCACACAATGGTCTATTCTCCTTCAAATGACGTTACGCGATCTTTAATGTCCACTTTGAAGCACGTATCTAATGCTTAGTACGCCAGCAGTATTAATCAGGGCGGCCTACCGGATTCAAATCGTGAACATCTGCAACAAAGCGACCAATGTAGCGCTTGGCCATGCAATCGCACCATGTCAGCTTACGGCTTTAACATCTTCTGAATTTTAAATGAAATTTCGGATCTTTTTAGAATTAATCTCGAAATCGGGAACACATACTTAGTTACGGACCGCATAACATACGTATAAATGTATGACAATGTATAACAATATATATATTGCGATGTATATTGTACAGGGTGGTCCTGATGCCTTGTGACAACTATTCTCTAAAACTCATCTGGATCACCCCTCGCTTTGTTCGGGGATGACGTGAGCTGCAGCTGCTGCTGCTTGCCTCTCAATGATGAGCGCTATGAGTGGCCTCATGTCATTGCCGGGCGCCAAACCCTGCTCTTGCTCATGCTGCTGCTGTTGTTGTTGATGTTGCTCAACGTCTCCATCCTGCTCCTCGTCTTGCTGGTGGTCGTCCTCGTCCAGGGACGGCATCGTCGCGTCTCCCAAGGCCGAGTTGAGGCTCGCCGCCTCAGCTCCTGAAAAGGACAAAGTGACGGACGAGGCTTGGTGCGAAAAGAAGGCTGCTGTTTCTGGTGTAGGACAATCGGTGTCGAAGACAACGTGTACACTACACTATACACTACATACCTGTCAACCGCTTACCCTACCTTATTACAGACCAATTCAGACCTTATTGGTTACCCCGTGCCCTTATAAATCTCAACGTTCATCCTACAATGTCCCATCACAAGGGAGAAACACAGACAAATAGGTTTTGCCCGTCTTGAAATGGCTGTACGCCGTATGGACCTTAAAACTCAATTTCCCTGTACAAGAATACGGGGTAAACCGTATGGGTTGACAAGGTATATAACGTTATTATCAGAGCATTTGTTTGCATGTTTTGTCAGAAGTGTGTGTGGTTAATGCCGACTTACTGCCCTGCAAATAAGTATATCTATTTGGTGTTTGAACATATCAAACACCTCCTGTGTACTGTGTACCAGCTAACCCGTGTACTATGTGTACTGTGTACCAGCTAACACGTGTACTGTGTGTACTATGTACCAGCTAACACGTGTACTGTGTGTACTATGTACCAGCTAACACGTGTACACTGTGTGTTGTGTACCAGCTAACACGTGTACTCTGTGTACTGTGTACCAGCTAACCCGTGTACTGTGTGTACTGTGTACCAGCTAACCCGTGTACTGTGTGTACTGTGTACCAGCTAACACGTGTACTGTGTGTACTGTGTACCAGCTAACCCGTGTACTGTGTGTACTGTGTACCAGCTAACCCGTGTACTGTGTGTACTGTGTACCAGCTAACCCGTGTACTGTGTGTACTGTGTACCAGCTAACACGTGTACTGTGTGTACTGTGTACCAGCTAACCCGTGTACTGTGTGTACTGTGTACCAGCTAACACGTGTACTGTGTCTACTGTGTACCAGCTAACACGTGTACTGTGTGTACTATGTACCAGCTAACCCGTGTACTGTGTGTACTGTGTACCAGCTAACACGTGTACTGTGTGTACTGTGTACCAGCTAACACGTGTACTGTGTACTGTGTGCCAGCTAACCCGTGTACTGTGTGTACTGTGTGTACTGTGTACCAGCTAACCCGTGTACTGTGTGTACTGTGTACCAGCTAACCCGTGTACTGTGTGTACTGTGTACCAGCTAACCCGTGTACTGTGTGTACTGTGTACCAGCTAACCCGTGTACTGTGTGTACTGTGTACCAGCTAACCCGTGTACTGTGTGTACTGTGTACTAGCTAATCCTTGCACTGTGTGTACTGTGTACCAGCTAACCCGTGTACTGTGTGTACTGTGTACAAGCTAACCCGTGTACTGTGTGTACTGTGTGCCAGCTAACTCGTGTACTGTGTGTACTGTGTACCAGCTAACCCGTGTACTGTGTGTACTGTGTACCAGCTAACCCGTGTACTGTGTGTACTGTGTACCAGCTAACCCGTGTACTGTGTGTACTGTGTACCAGCTAACCCGTGTACTGTGTGTACTGTGTACCAGCTAACCCGTGCACTGTGTGTACTGTGTACCAGCTAACCCGTGTACTGTGTGTACTGTGTACCAGCTAACCCGTGTACTGTGTGTACTGTGTACCAGCTAACCCGTGTACTGTGTGTACTGTGTACCAGCTAACCCGTGTACTGTGTGTACTGTGTACCAGCTAACCCGTGCACTGTGTGTACTGTGTACCAGCTAACCCGTGTACTCTGCGTGCAGCGTCCCTGCCCGTTGCCCGGCAACGCGCCACGTGACTCGCAATGGCCGACGGCGAGGCGTCGCGGGTCGCCGTGGCAACGCGGCCTGGTCGAGGAGGCGGCCCAGGCGAGGAGGCGGCCCGAGTCACTCGCGTGGCGCTGCCGCTGAACAATTGAAGAGCAATTTATCTCATCGCTCTCTTTGCTGTGCATTTAACGTGTGCACACTAAGTGGTCGCGCTGTGAGTATGTTGCCTTTTTATTCGGATTACGTAAAGCCACGATTATATTACTGGACGGCTGTTGTACAGTGTGGTCCCGATGTCTTGTGACCTAATTAATTGACCCGTAACACATTTTAAAAATATATTTTGCAAAATCCTTACTTTTAGAGAATTAAATGGGGGTCACAAGGCATCAGGGCCAGCCTGTGCTTAACCGCTCACGTATTGAGCTGGGTTCAGACCGTGGCCGATACTTTTTATTTATTTAAATTTATTAAGATATTTCTACCAAGAAAATCCCCATTTGAGATGGAATTTCTCGCTTTCAAATGTTGTTCAGGATGTAATATGATGACATAGCAAACACGCAAAACGACACGTATGTACGAATATCACGCGGTTACCTATTGGCCTGAGGCGTCAAGGGGGTGACGCTTTAATTTGCTATTGCTCTCACTTTCTTAATGATAAATGACGACTTCACGGATCTCAATACCCATACACTAATGCAGCGATTAACACGTTAGAACGATTTCAGGAAATGCAAAGAAGAAGGCCTGAGAGAGTCTCTGCGGTAAATCGCGCAGCGGCGCAAGATTTACAAAGCGCAGACGAGAGAACTAATACCAGACGGAGGACGTCTCTGAATGCTGTCACGGCAAAGAGGGACCTCAACAGTTCCAGGACCCCAAGAAATGCAGGTGATGATGTTGCACACCGAATCTTTAAAAATAAAAATTCAGCTTAGGGGCCGTCCATAAATGACGTCACGCGAGTTTGGACGATGTTTGACCCCCTCCCTCCCCTCGTCACAAGGCGTCACAAAAAGTCAGACCCCCCCCCCCCCTCAAATATAACGTCACAAAGCTCTGTCCCCGCCCCCCACCCACAAAACCATATTTACATTTTGAAAATATAACATGCTTCAAATCGCTTTAAGTTTTTGTCATTGTAGTGCGTATTTAATGTGGCGCTGCACTCTGATGTTGTAGGAGAAAATATTTATTGAAAAGGAGGCGTTGGAAAGCTTGCATTTAGCATAAAATTCACTTGAAAATATTCAACGTCTAACTAAAACTGCAGATGTTCAGAATATACATTGAAATAATCTTAGAATGATAAAATATTAAAAGGAATTATAACTATTAAAAAATACTTGAAACTTTGTAGTAGAACGAAGCAAAATGGAGAGTACAATTATAGCAATCCACAGCCCTGGTAGAATAATTAGAATCAAAATGTTTAATAACAATAATTTAAAAAAATGTTCAAAATGTATGCTTTTCCATTCTCCCATGGGGAAGCAAAATGCTCCTTCATGGAATAAAGTAAAGGTGACCTTAGTGAATTTAAATAATAAAATAGTTAATAATGAAAATTAATCAAAATGAGTGCTGTTATAACAATTCTATATTTTTAGTTTTTTCGGTAAAGTCACGTTGAAGAGAAACAACAAAATAACAAAATATATATAAAACAATAAAAAAAATTCTCACGACGTTTCGACCATAACTCAAACGGTCATCATCAGGTGTGTCGGTTTGCATAAATTTATTTTGAAAACGGCATATTTATTTATATATATAAAAAATAACGTTTGCGTCACGCGCAACGATTGGCAGTTTGCCAGGACTAGTCCATCTATTTTTTGAAAAGAGGAGGGGGGAGACGAAATTTGTTTTTATGTATGCTGTCTGAAAGCCACTGTAAGCGTGAACAATCAATCAAGAACTGAAATGATTTATCAAATCTTTCCAATGATTGCTAAGATAGAATCCATCTTCTCGGTTGAAATTGTCTCTGTGCTTGTATATGTGGATAGCCTCATGAACGAATCTCTCATGGAAGCCAGATGGCTTACAAAGAACCTCCGTCTTGGAAAAGTCAATGGCATGTGAGCCTACTGAATTAGAACAATGATCTGCTACGGCCGAGGTGTTGGTCCTACCGTGTTTAAGGTCTGCTTTATGTTCACGAATGCGGTCCGAGATATGGCGTTTGGTTTCTCCAATGTAACTACTACCACAGAGGCAACTTAGTTTGTAGACACCAGGGTATTGTATGTCCGGAATCACATCTTTTACAGACGGAACCAGATCACGGATTTTATGTAATGTGTTGAAACGGACCTGGATCTTGTGTTTATTCAAGATTTTGGAGATCTTTTTTGTGATCCCAGCAATGTAGGGTAAAGTGATGGTTTTGAAAGGCTCCTCAAGAGGGTTTTTCTTCATGGTTTGAGTGATAGCTTTGCTATAGCTTTGCTATCACTCAAACCATGAAGAAAAACCCTCTTGAGGAGCTTTTCAAAACCATCACTTTACCCTACATTGCTGGGATCACAAAAAAGATCTCCAAAATCTTGAATAAACACAAGATCCAGGTCCGTTTCAACACATTACATAAAATCCGTGATCTGGTTCCGTCTGTAAAAGATGTGATTCCGGACATACAATACCCTGGTGTCTACAAACTAAGTTGCCTCTGTGGTAGTAGTTACATTGGAGAAACCAAACGCCATATCTCGGACCGCATTCGTGAACATAAAGCAGACCTTAAACACGGTAGGACCAACACCTCGGCTGTAGCAGATCATTGTTCTAATTCAGTAGGCTCACATGCCATTGACTTTTCCAAGACGGAGGTTCTTTGTAAGCCATCTGGCTTCCATGAGAGATTCGTTCATGAGGCTATCCACATATACAAGCACAGAGACAATTTCAACCGAGAAGATGGATTCTATCTTAGCAATCATTGGAAAGATTTGATAAATCATTTCAGTTCTTGATTGATTGTTCACGCTTACAGTGGCTTTCAGACAGCATACATAAAAACAAATTTCGTCTCCCCCCTCCTCTTTTCAAAAAATAGATGGACTAGTCCTGGCAAACTGCCAATCGTTGCGCGTGACGCAAACGTTATTTTATATATATATAAATAAATAAATATGCCGTTTTCAAAATAAATTTATGCAAACCGACACACCTGATGATGACCGTTTGAGTTATGGTCGAAACGTCGTGAGAATTTTTTTATTGTTTTATATATATTTTGTTATTTTGTTGTTTCTCTTCAACGTGACTTTACCGAAAAAACTAAGAATATGAATTACTGCAGTCACGAAAGCTTTAAATCAAAATTTAATTCTATATTTATTAAAAGTTGCGCATTTTGATGTGACGTCACATTTCTCAAACCCCCCCCCCCTCCCCCCCTCGTCACACATCGTCACAAATGTCTGACCCCCCCCCCCCCTAGGTGCGTGACATCATTTATGGACGACCCCTTAACATACCTGTCAACCCCTTGTCAGTGCCCTACAATTATTACAGACCAATTCAGACCTTATTGGTCACCCCATGCCCCTTATAAATCTCAACCTTCATCCTACAAAGTCCCATCACAAGGGCGAAACACAAAATAAATAGGCCATGTTTTTTGCCTGTAGTGAAACGGCTGTACGCCATATAGGCCTGAAAATTCAGTTTGCTTGTACAAGAATATGGCTAAACCGTATGGGTTGACAGGGTATGTAATAACGCGCTTCCATAAATGACGTCACGCACCTAAGGGGGGGGGGGGTGGGGTCAGACATTTGTGACGATGTGTGACGGGGGGGGGGTTTGAGAAATGTGACGTCACATCAAAATGCGCAACTTTAAATAAATATAGAAAACACGTTCTACTTAATTAAATAGACTTTTTAATAAATGTTTTCTCCTACAACATCAGAGTGCCGCGGAACATTAAATACGCACTACAATGACAATAGTTTAAAGCGATTTGAAGCATGTTTTATTTGGGTATGGGGGCAGAGCTTTGTGACGTCATATTTGAGGGTGGGTCTGACTTTTTGTGACGCCGTGTGACGAGGGGGGTGGTCAAACATTCCAAAATCGCGTGACGTCATTTATGGACGGCCCCTTAGCACGGTTGGCTACGAAAAAGTTCAACATACGTACAATAACAGTTATGAAACATTCCCCCCAATATTGCAGTGTCGTGTATTTAACTCTCACAAGTGGACGCCGACATGTACGTTGAACTTTCGCACCGCACGTAGCCAACCGTTGCTAATCGGCGGTGATCTATGACCGTACTGCTTTCCAATATAAATTACTTCAATGGTTTTGTCTTTTTTTTCCTCTCTCTCACCCCCACAAATAGGTGACAGTTCTGAAAGAGCGGCTGAAAACGGCGACACCTCGAGGGAGAAAAACACCCACGGGGTGGTCTGCGCTAAACAAGGTTTGGGCGAAGAGGCGTCATCTGGTGTGAACCCAAGTGCCCGCGCGTCCACGCTTGGGGAGCTTCTGGAGACCCTGAAGTTACTGGAGGAGGAACCTGACACATCGCCTCAGCCCGACAAGTACGCGTGGATTGACAAGGTAAGAACCATGTTGCCCCTACCGCCCCTACTGCGATTTGACCAGTGGTTTATCGAGAAGCCGTTAGGCTAACGCTCTACTCGCTATTGCTGAGATTTTAATGACTTGCGAACTCCAAACGATTGTGATGATTGCTGTACTGCTTTACAAATTGCACATTTGGCTGCAGCTGGAATAATATTGTCATATCTGGGGTGGAGCACTGATTTCTACCTTACTAACCAATATAGTTCAACTCAAAGAAATCAGATTAATTGATAATTATCCTATACTCACTGGTTCACGACCGTCACTCGCTTACCGGCGGCTTGTTACCTCCGCATCACTCTTCTATGGCTGCTATCCCCATTAACTTTACTTGATGAGACCTCAACTCATGTTAAGGACTCGGTCTACCCAGCACACTGCGGTTCTCAGCTTGAGTGAAGTTGCTGATGGCCAATTAACCATGTCTAATGTGGCTTTGAAGTATACGCCATCATACATCTTTACCCAATAAAGTATTACTGCTTCATCTTATATATTTTGTGTGTGTCACTTGCGTGCATTTTTTTAAATTCACATATAACAGGAAAAAATGAAAATAAACATTTTTGCTTTATAATTATTACTACCACTAAACACGGTTTGGTAACTACGTTGTTTAATTGCCTGGTGAGCACGGTTTGGTAACTACGTTGTTTAATTGCCTGGTGTGCAGGGGGAATCAGCCATAGGCAGCCCTACTGAGACAGCTGTGCCCTCCAATGCCACATTAACCAATCTCATGGAGACATTGGAGCAGATGGAGAAGAATGCGCAAGATATCACCACAGCTTTAGTTTCACCACTTCCAGCAGAGGCAAGTCTATTTCTCCGCATTACAGTTTTTACGTAAGCACTTCGTGGAAACATTCCAATGTTATATATTATACGCTTGTTTTAATGAAATCCCACTCGGGTTACAAACGGCTGCAAACAAAAAAACTTGCATATTAAACATGCACAATTTTGGTGAGGTACACGTGATTGCAAAGGTTGCCCTCCGGTATAATCATAGAATGCAAAAACGGACAACCAAAAAGACCAGAAGATATCCATCCCGAGCCCAGTGTTTCCTGGATACGTGCCATTGTATTGTGTTGTCTCCACCATGGAACAGAAGGTGAGTGCGTCCTTGACCTCGTTGGGTGGGTGTCATCACTTTGATTTGACTTTTTTTTTCTCACGGCTGCATTTAGCAATTTAACAAATCGCTTGGTTTGTAGCATCACGGTTATGCTTTTTGAACAGTGTCTTAGCTTTTTTTGTATATCTGCAGTATATGATTGAGCAATACTTTGACAATACCTGTACGGTATGTTTGTGTGCACCAGGTATGTGAAGAAAGATATTTTTCTCAGATTGAGCAAGAATCGGCAGAAGTGACAAGTACCTTAATAAAGATGAAACTGGAGCTGGAAGAGAAGAGAAGGAGTGTTCATATGCTGCAGACTGCTCTGGTGCGTTGTGGCAACATGTGGCACGTTGTGCTATCGTTTATATTTGTGAATGATAGATGCGTGCATTGTTTTAATCACACTTACAAGTTGTGGAATAAAGTATATGGGCATATGGGAGTTCATAATGTGCAGAGGTGCATTTAAGACTTTGTGTGAGGAAATTACATTTCATAAGGTGTGGATGCGAGTATTGGATAAAATATTTGTAAGCACAACTACATTCTCTTTGGTTCTTTCGGTAAAGTCACGTAGGTATAAAATAAATTAAATCACGACATTTCGGGCGCAACACAAGTGCCCGTCATCAGGTGGAAACAACCACAGCAATAAACAAATTGCTGAAGTGGGCAAAAGGAGGCTGCTTGTGACAACGAGGCTATATATACATAAGAGGGGGGGGTGAAGAGCCAGGTAGGAGAGATAGAGAGGGTGGGGGTGTGGGGTAGGGGGGGAGTAGCGAAGTGCAAGACCCACCCGAGCCCGAGTACAACACAATTTTCTACCCATGTGACTTTACCGAAAGAACCAAAGAGTATGGATTCCTGCAGTCACGGAAACTTCAAATCTAGATCATAACTACATTATAAATGTGTGGAGAAATGGTACTCCCAACTGAAAGTGTGTTCTTGAGAAACATTTCAAGGTTAACGCCAATGAAATTGTCAGCAGCTCCTTCATCAATCTATGGTTGTTAATCATCAATGTTTCTCTAATCCAGGATCCACCCCTAAAACCCCTATTGGCTATTCATAATCAGTTGTGCTTCCGTTAGAGTTGTATGTAAATAAAACATTGACCTGATACCAGCTTTTCAGTATCGACAAGAATAGCAATTATATTTTTTGGTTATTTCATTTGAACCTATCTACGTGACTTTACCAAAAGACCCAAGAATATGAGTTCCTGCAGTCACGGAAGCTTTAAGTCAAGAAGAATAGCAATTGTTATTCTGGACGACACAAGCCTGCTGGCACTAATTTCAGGCAGCTGATATCACTTATGATTAGGCTGGCCAAACCCCACAGGCCATTTTATGCCATGCCAGGTTCCATGCATCCCAGAACCCACCACGATTCTGCCCACCCCACAATCCTGCTAAGAGTTCTATTAAATTTCAGGGATGGAATCGCGATTCATTGCTAGAACTTATGAGAATGTCGTGCCTCTTACTCACCAGCGTGGCGAGGTAGGCTCAAACAACCCTAATGACTGACGTGCTATAAGAGGCTTACATCTAACAGTGGATTGGGCTGGACATTATTATTGATTTATTCTATATGTACTTACAGCCAACAAGTAATTAAAAACAAGTTGTTAACGGGTGTTGTCTGTTGTAAATTGGAGTTTAAAACTCTGAAACATAATGTGCAAATTTCATGTTAACTTTACCAAAAGCTAATAAATAAAGAGCTTCATTATTGTAAGGTTACTCGCGTTTCCTTGCAAAAAGAATGTGACATCTCATCGAACTGTGATCTGGTGAACTTTCGGCTATGTGGCTTATGGGATGTGTAAAATCATCTTACTTTCTAAGTGGGAAAATACATGAAAAGGACATATATATTGTTTGCTTGTTTTATCGCTTCTTATAGTTTACACAACAAAACTCACGCTCGTTATGCCTTGTAGTTTAACTTTAGCGCAGTGTCCTTAACGTTTAACAAACACAAACCGATGTCTTTCTTGAAGCGGTCTTTCCATCGATGTCTAGGCTCAGCAGAAGGAACTCACAGTTAGGTATGCAAAGGATGCTGATCGCGAGAGGCAACTTCAACTCCAACAACAAAAGGAGCATTATGAGACAGCCATCCAACGCCACCTCTCCTTCATTGACCAGGTTTCCCCTCTCTTCCACTTTAATCATAATCATCGTCGTCATCATCCCTCTTGACAAATAAATGTTGATCTTAAGTAAATCAAGCTCGGCATTATTCAACGCAAATACGGTAAGCAATTCAGTCGTTGTTACATTGCTTTATTTCTTTGTGACTAGCTAATTGAAGATAAGAAGAACCTGAGTGAAAAGTGTGAGTCGGTCGTTAAAGAACTGCAGCACATTGACGGGAAGTATGCAAGACGCCTTCAGCACATGCAAGAGCAGCATGAAAAGGTTCTTGGCATTTCCCTCTTCCACTTTATTATTGAACATTGAACAGTCTATGTCTCGCCTCCTTACTTGCCACTAACCACCCTTATTATCCCAGTATATAATACCTGATGCATTGTTCTCCATTGTATTCGGCTGCTTGTATTCCATGGACAGTTTTACAGGTTAGTGTAGATTTGTTAAATATCAATGTTGAATAACTTATTTTGTCTTTATGTAACCCAAGTCGCAACCTGCGGCTCCAGAGCCAAATGCGGCTCTTTAAGGACTGCCTCGTGGCGTTATTTATTGAGGACCACCGTCTCTTAGTCACCACACAGTGCATTGCGGCTCTCGGATTATTGATTTTTTTTACCGAATTCGATCAAAAAATGTCTCTTATTGTTATTTTGGTTGTCGACCTCTGGGTTAAATAAAGGATACTGACTGGCTGACAGGACAACAATCTGCCATCGTTTTAAAGCCGTACAGCCATGGTATAACGATACGTTCCATAAGTATGGTCAGTTTATTTGATACCACTCTGAATATATAAACAAGTATCGTGAGACATTTATGCATGGTATTTGTTCCACAGGAGGTAAAGAGGTTGAAGGATGTAATGGCAGCAACAGAAAAACTGAGAAGAGAAAAGTGGATCGATGAAAAGACCAAAAAAATAAAAGAAATAACAGTAAAAGGTAACAAAGCACATTTATTTTCCAATGTTTTGTTCATTGCACAAGGAAGAAAAATCATGCACACGCATTGATTCTGTAATGCTCTCTGACATTTGGTTGTCAAAAGGATTTAATTGGCGATGGCGTTACGTTTCAAACCCCACAACGAGATGACGTGACACGGCACATCCATGAGTGGATTGCTTATGGCTGATGATGATGGTGATCATTTAATTTCTCATAAGTCACTTTATGACATTACAAGAATAGTAATATGTGTAATCAAACTGAGGAAATACAGAAAAAAACTGTAATATTTTGATGTTATATCACACGTTTTATTAAAAGACATTTTCCTACTTGGACCATTTTAATAACTAATTTTTAGCACTCAAAAATTGAAAAGATATGTATATGAGTAGCCTACTTGTGTTGATGAGTACTGTGAGTAACCAATGAGGGGGTGAGCAGAAGGAGGTGCGAGCGGGTTGACAGTCAAGAATGACGTAACGTCACGGGTTACATAAGGGGCTTTGGAGAGCACCTTCGGGAACATGGGCGGAGCCGAGCTGGGGGTAGGAGCCGTGCTAGGGGGAGGAGCCGAGCTGGGGGGGAGGAGCCCCCCAAAGCGTTCTTAAGGGGGGCCCCCGTGATGGAGGGGGGTCATCGTAGTGAGCCAGGGTGAGGATTGGCTGGAAGAGGGTCTCTTCCCTCGTCGCGGAGTGGTGTTGGCTGAACCCCTGCTCCGGGCAGGCGAGTGAGAGAGCCCATAGGGTAGCCGAGAGCATTGGACCCAAAAAGTATTCAGTGTCCGGGGTAAAGGACCGAGATAGAGTGCACCTACACTGCTGTGAGTGTAGGATGTTGAGGGTAACAGTGTTTTATTAAACGGCAACAGCCCTTATAGAATTCCTCGTCTCCGCGTGGTTCTACTACACTTGTAATGCCATCCAATGGCTCCTCGCTGCCTCTTCAGATGAGCAATGCATATGGTAATTTCTGCATGAGTCATCCATTCCGTGCTACCAGAGGTCTTAAGATAGGTCCTACTAATTTCCGTAAACTACCGCAAATTTGCCGCAAGGTAGTGCACATTTACCGCTCCTGTTAATGAACGTAAACTACCACGTACTTATCACAAAGTACCACAAACTACCGCAAATTTACTGCAAAATACGACGAAGGACCCCCCTCAGCCACAGGCCCCCCACCAGTCGCCCCCCCCTTATGGCTCCCCTGTGCACCCCCACCCGCGCGCTTTCCATGCCATCCCCCCCCCCCACTCCTACACCATCCCCCCATCCTGCATGCCCCCATCCTTGGTCCGGGCTCCCCTCCGTTCCCCCTCGCCACCAACTCGCCTCGACCCCAGTGCCAACCAGCACGGCTGAGAGGGGGTCCTTTGTCGTACTTTGTGGACGTTTGTAAATTTGCAGTCATTTGTGGTAATTAGTAGGACTGCACTAAAACAAAATGTGGATTCATGGACGTAACCTGTTTCTGATATGGAAGCGGTTCATGACCGCAAAATGTTACATCAACGTATCTTCGTCATTCCAGGCCTGGAGCCAGAGATCCAGAAACTGATCAGCAAACACAAACAGGAACTGGCACGACTCAGTGCACTTCATGATGCCGAGTTACAAGCGAGCGATGAGCGTGCTGCCAAGCGTTACGTGCAGCAAATCCAGGAGCTCCGAGCCCAACTCGACAAGGAAAAAGAAGCTGCATGCCAGCGGGAGAGAGATGTGGCACAAAAGCAGTGGGTAGTTTTCCATCTCCCTGTTATGTTATGTGGTGTCCATCGTGTAGCTACTATGCCACCACTCTCTGGAACTCCTTCCCCAGGCAACTCTGCCTGGTCACCTCTCTCTGCTTTCCAGCCTCTCCTCAAAACTCTCCTATTCAATGCCGTGCTGTCGGACCGCCTTAATTGCTACTTGTCTCCTTCCCTTTGATGGTCCTTTCTATTCTCTTCCATTCTTCCTATGCTAGTATGTGCTTTTTGAGACGTTTGTTACATTTCTAAGGCACGTGGCTAATTCAAGTTATTTTCGTTGTTTTTATGTAATGCCCATGCAACCCTGCTGTGTACATTATTCTTTGCTTCCCTGCTCAGTCTAGAATGGCAATTATTTACCTCAGAAAGCATCACTGAATCTTTAAGTCCATTTTTAAAGATAATTAAAGATTATAATCTTTCATTGCTTATTTGGCAACTACCATTTATGAGCATTTGGTATGCAACAGGAAACCAGCGTACCCGGAAGCAGCTGTAGAAATTGCGTATTCCTGTGACAAGGGGAACTGGTCTCCTATAGGACCACTCTTCATGTCCCACAAAGTAGTACTCAATTTAATGATCCCAGAACAGATGATGGACAGAGTCAACTTGCTGAATATTTGTGGTCAGCAACTGTGTTTTAAAAAAACAAACCAAGATTTGATCTTACAACCTTCTGATTGCGAACTAACCGCTCTACCACTGAGCCACCTACCTGTGCTACAGCGAGATGTTAACTACCTCACCTGGTATACAGGAGGTTGTGGGTTCGATCCCGACCCTGACGCCTGTATATTTCGAGTTTGCATCTTCTCCCCGTGGTTGCGTGGAATTTCCTCTGTGTCCTCCGGTTTTTCCCTCCACATTTAGAATCAACATGCGTATTTGGCATGTGGCAAAAAATTTCCATGTGATGCTGAGCCACATCATTTGTGGCTGGGTCGCTTCTGAAATAGAGCTGTTTTGCTGAGTGGGCCTTACTTGGAAAAATAAAATTAGTTTTTTTTAAATACTTATTATATCGTGTGTTCTGCAGATAAGGTCTTGTTATTTTGCGCTAGAAATTCTTCTTGGCTATGGCGCCATGCAGTGTGTCATGTGCTGTTTGGAATGAGAAGCTATGAGCAGGCGTTGATGGAGGAACAGAAAGCTCTGCACCAACAGAGACTGAGAATTGCCGCGGAGCTGAGTCAAGAAAAAGAACGACTGAGCGAGCAGGCTCACAGGTATGCCACAATGCAGCGCATTTCTGCAGGATATTTAGTGTTCCACATTTAGTGTACGGATTTTCCCACCGAGTCCATAAGTGACACCTATGTAGACATGCTTTCAAACGTAATGTTTTTCTGCTTGATCTAGTCCTATTCTGCACCTGTTGCTATACAGGCAGAGGGCTGATCTGGAGGAACTACGCAGACAACTGGAGAGGAATTCTATTACAGCCTGCCAGGCACTAAAGGAAGAGTACCACCATGCCAAAGAAGAGCAGGAAAAACGACACCAGGTGGAATTCAATGCCAATTCAAGAACTCTAAATAAAGATTCTGGTCTCCATGTGGAATATCCATACATATTATTGACCAGCCAGGTGGCTAAGTGGGTTGGCTTAGGCCATCATCCCTTTGTGGGAAGTCAACAGTGGTTGTCCTATGGAGAGACTCGCCCCCGCCGGAGAAATGTAGAATATCCACCTCTGGATTAGGGCTGTAAACTGGAAATGAGGGCTGCCCCAATGCTCATTTGAACTTTCATATGGATTATCAGGGGAGTCCCATATCGCAATGTTAGAAAAAAAAGTTCAAAATTACTGGGTTAAACCATAATAGTCATGACTTTAGATATTAAGAAAGTATTACATTTGCACCTTCGATTAGCATGGTTGGTTACTTACAGTGCAAAAGAAGTTCAACATACATGCATGCAAAATACAAAGTATATGTACTGTACTTCAAAACATGTTTTGTAAAATGCCCTTGAAGCACAATCTTTGTGTTTGTCTCTGGTTGTCTCACTAGTAGTGATCTTGTATATGTAACCATAGAATATGTTTTTTTCAATTAACATCGATAACAACGTAAGGTATTTAAGTATTTGGAGCACATGATCCACAAAGTTACAATATTTTACCTATTACTACTAAACCGTTGGTAGCAATTCAAATTGTTGTCGGGCCAAAACATGATTAACTTCTGTTGGGAAGATGGTGACACGTATAAATTATAGTACCGATTTCAACATTGACAAATCTGCTTGGTGTTATTTTTTCTGGAATACATGAGGAATGAATGTACTGGCGTTTATTGTGTAGGTAGAATTGCTGGGGTACAAAGAGCGACTTGAAATTGAGAAACAGACTTGGGAAGAAAACTACAGGAAAAAACAGGTTTGAAATCCACAGAACTGATCACAACACCTCCTGACAAATTTGTCGTAATTCATAATGAAGGTTTTTGGGTTAGATCACGTAAATATAAATTAAGTCCAGAAACAGGAAGACTTCTTCACAATTTTGTCAAATCGCCTAATGAAGCTGGTTGTAATCACGAGCGAAACGTCGTACTCAAATTGTAAATGTTGTGGGTTTACTCTCTAAAGTAGTAACTCATTGTCACTTTTGTTTATGTGACAAACCTTCATCTAATTGGCTGTGTCGGGTGGTGGTGGGTTAATGACACATTTATATTTAAGCCATCTAACCCAAAAACCTTTATGAATAATATTGGTCGCGAAAGCCTATGTGTTAAATCAAATTTGTTGTAAGTCTGCAGGTCATGGTGAGTAGTCATCTGTCCTAATAATGCAAGTTTATTACCACTGACGACTCCACTGATGGAAATCTTCATCTCAGTGATTATTGGTTCAGAGTAACCGGCTGAGTGGCTCAACAGTGAGCGGCTCGCAATTGGAAGGTTGTGAGTTCGAATTCTGGTTGGGGGTTGACTTAGCCCATCATCCCTCTGGGGTTAAAAAAAACAAGTACCACTTTGTGGGGAAATCAATAGTGGTTGTGCTTACTCTTTGGTTCTTTCGGTAAAGTCACGAAGTTAGAAATAAAATAAAATCAAACAAATTTGTTTTATTTTATTTCTAACTTCGTGACTTTACTGAAAGAACCAAAGAGTATGGATTCCTGCAGTAACGAAATCTTCAAATCAAGAGTAGTTGTGCTATGAAAAGACTAATCCCTGTCAGAGGAATGTGGAATTTCGACCACCAGCTCAAGGCTGTAAAAAAAAAGGTGAGCACCATCTGAATGCTCCTGGAGCAATAAATCACTTTGACAATTTATAACAATATTTTCATTTATTTTTGCATTGTTTATAATTTAGATCTAGCAACATATAGGATTTGCACCTTCGATGGGCACGGTTGGCTACGTATGGTGGAAAAGAAGTCCAATGTACATTTAAGGTCTGCACTAGATGATTTAAAAATGGCACGTGAAAACACCTCTTCTGATGATGCAGGAGGCCTGGCTGCTTAGTCGTGAGCGGGAGTTGCGCGAGGAGGTTCGCAAGACTCGCGATGAGGAGATTGAGATGGTCATCCGGCGGCTGGAGGACGATGCTACAGCCACGCGCCAAGAGTGTGATCGTGCGGCCGAAAACAGGTCGAGTAATGCATGTTGAAGTGTTCCCTCGCTATCCGCGAACTTGCTGTCCGCGATTTTGGCTGTCCGCGAATTGCATCTGGAACTCCACGTGACTACTGCATCGAGAGAGAGAGAGAGAGAAACTGATTAGATATGTATGTATGTTGAACTTCTTTCTCTCCGTACATAGCCAACCGAGCTAATCGGAAGTGAGGGTGGTGAGATATAAAATGTTGGGAGATAAAGTGATTAGAGATAAAGTGATGAGAGAGAACGTGATGTGAGAAAGTTACGAGATAAAGTGATGGGATAATTTCATGTATTGAATATGTTATATTTATTTAAGGAAATTCATAAAAATATACGTTTTCATAGGCCCTGATCATTATCTGAAAATTGTGCTACTCACGACCATCTCCAGAACGTACAACTTGTGAATAACGCAGGAAAATGTACTTCTTTACCCAGGAAAGGCAGACTGAATCTAAAAACTCGACATCGAAATGTTTGACCAACACATATTGAATTGTATGATTTAAGATATGGTAGGAAACCGAAGAACCCGGAGAAAAACCAATGATGAACAGGGGGAGAACATCTAAACCCCACACGAGGAGACCCCCCCCTCCTCCCACAGTGGAATTGAACCCAGAATCTTCTTTGTGTGAGGCACAAGTGTTATCGCTGCACCACCCGGCCACCCAAACTGATTGATTTATATTTGACGAACTTTACTACCCGGCTTCGCCCGGGACTTGGATTCACGACGCCCGGCCGCCTTTGTCTCCTCAATGGTGATGTTCACACACCACACCAGTTACTCATTTGAGGCTGAGTCGACCTAGGGGAGGTCCAGAACCGGTTCAAATAATCGTCACCAGTGGTGGCTGTTTAGCGGGAATCGAACTCGGGTCGCCGGGTTCGTAGCGCAGCGCGCTAACCACTACACTACCGCTCCCCCCACACACACACACATGCGCGCACGTCAATAGGTACACATACACGCGCTTGCTGCAGACACACACAACTTTCAGGGTGCGTACGGCAGTAAACGACTGAAATAATAAACCAATGCTGCGCGAAGAACGCCTGAGACCTGCAACACATTTGTATAGCACTTTACTCGCGGAGGGTTGGGGGGGGGGGTGCGTGACGTCACCAGGCACACTGCGTTACGCTTCCGCATGCGCGGGTGACACGACAGATGTGACGTCACAGCTCACTTGCCGTGCAAAATATATGCAAGGGTGTTAGATTGTGAGTTATTCTTGGGGGCAACCATGGGAAGAAGCAAATGGGAAAAGGGAGTCAGGAATATTGTGAAGCAGAATTAAAGCACATCCAAGCTCGGTCATTGCGAGAGAGTCTGCGGTAGGAGTTGGCTATACACGTTGGTGCACAGTGACGTCCGTGTGTAGGTGCTCGCTAACAGCACTTCTCCCAACAGTCTATGAAGGCTATACGGGGGGGCCTTTGTGTAGTGGTTAGTGCATTATGTTATGAACCCAGTGACCTGAGTTCAATTCCTGCTCACGGCCAACCCCAATGACGATTATCTGAACCGGTCCTGGGCCTCCCTTTGGTCGACTCAGTCTCAAACGAGTAACTGGTGTGGTGTGTAAAAAATCACCACTTAGGAGTCAAAGACGGCCAGCCATGGTATTGGTCGCCCACCCCCTCGTGTGCCGTGCTCACTAACAGCACTTTCCGTAACAGTCTGTCAAGGCTATATGGGGGATTTTTGTCTTATCTTTGTCTCACATCAGGCTGCGACGTGTGCGAGAAATGCAAGAGGCTGAGGTGCGTGAACTGGAGCAAGCGGAGAAGAGGGCTCAGGCGAAGGCTGTTGAGTTGAGGACCCGCTTAACCCAGGTGGAGGGGGAGGCTGCCCGCTGCCAGGGTTTGCTGCAGCAGAAGGACGCAGAGTTATCTGAAATGAATAAGGTAACAATGCTCAGAGCTAAACATGCGCAATCATCATCAGTCATGATCTTTCGACTGCTAGATGACGGGCTCACCACGATGTCACCAATCCTCATTCTCCTGCGATGTCACAATTCATCTTCTGACTGCGCCACGTGCTGAGTTCTTCACTCCATCAGCACGTTGGACGTTCTCATGGGCAATGTATTTCATTTGGTTGCCATTCCATCGCCAATTTCGATCTCAACAATCGGGCTGCAAGGGACATGCCTGGCCTGTCTTTCTGCAGAAAACTCATTCAAACGACCCCTTTTCCAATATGTCTCTGGGTAGCCCTTAACCGAAGCCTGACCTTCCGAATTTATCTAGAGAAAGACCCAAGAATAGGTCAAGTAAATGATGCGACTTTTCCGCAATCTTGCCGGGACGACATGGCGAGCCTCATCCCGAGACCTATGAATGGCCACACTCGAAATACAGCATTCCTCCTTTATTCAGGAACTTGCTATCCACGATGTGTGGCTATCCGCGAATCGCATTTGGAGCTCTACACGACTGCATCGAGAGAGAGTGAGAAAGAAAGTGATGAGATGAAGTAATGAGAGAGACAGCTTATTTACGTATTTATTTGAGGTAATCAATTCATATCATCCGCAAAATGTGCTATTCACGAGCATCTCCGGAACATATGCCTTGCGAATACCGAGGGAATAACGAGTTTACCCTGTGGCAGAGTGATGCGTGCCCGTCTGGTTGGCTGGCTCACGCTCAAAAGTCTCGACCCTTGCTTCCACACTGCACTGAGGATAAAAGCGGGAACCCTCAAAGTAACACCAACCATGTGACTTCCCGGCCTTGCCCACATTACGCCACCAAATTTTTCTGCAGAGACATCCGAACATCGTCCGAACTCGCTTGCATCAAATTAAACCCAAACTTGCTCGTCCATGACGAGCTCAATAACCCTCCCTGGCCCCGTCTCAAGTCCCGTAAAGTAAACCACTCGGGGGTCACGCAAGGGTGTTCAATGAATCGACCTGCGCGAAAGAGAGATGGAGGTCGCCATGGAACAGTGCTGAGATCCACAGCAGACACCTTGCTGCAGACCCAACACGACAATCGAAGGGATTTCAACTTGCCCGGAAACTACGGTCTGCAGCGGACCGATTTCATACAAGAACCGGATGCTGCTCCTTCTTACTTGACAAGTGGAAGGTCAAAAATGGTCCCCAAATGTGACTGGGGAGATGGAAACCAAACAATGGAATACATCTCATCAACTCCTGCCCATTGCGAGACTTCACCAGAAACCCGAGTGTATCAATGAACCCACACCCAAAAGCTGTGATGTGGCTCACGAACCTCGACGCAGTATTCAAGTTTAGCTTTTCACACAATCTATGAGAAGACCAACCTCATCCGTGTGCTATAATCTCTTATAGCCATGCGTCCTGCCCAAGTCAAAACGTCTCTGTTTTTCTAAGTAACCTATCCATCTTTACATTCTTGTAAATGAGTTCAAATCCCGATTGGGGGTTGACTCAGCTCATCATTCCTCCTGCGATGATAACATTAGTACCACTCAGTAGGGAAGTCAAGTGGTTTTCCTATGGATAGACTCGCCTCCGCCATGCCCACCACAGACTCAGTGCTGTAAACGGGAGATAAGCACCACCTCCATGTTCACGCAAGCAAACATTTACTTTGACTTGACGTTGAACATGCGATTATGCGCCTTGTGTATAATGAGGTGTTGTGTTCTGTGCCAACGCGAGTGCAGGTGAATTCACAACTGATGGAAGAGCGGAATCGCCTCGGTGCTGTACTGAGGCAGGAGTTTGCAGAGCGACTGGCGATGACGGAGGAAGAGAATCGGCACCTGCAAGCTGAGATGACGGAGCTGAGAGCACGGCAGCATGCAGAGATACAGAGGGTTCATCAGGATAAGGAAAAGGAGCTGCAGGAAGTGCACCAGAGGTAAGTACGTGCAGACGAACGCGTAGCTCCACAAATTCCAAGTTGAGCTGAATTTTGCAGGTTATGGTCTTTTGCTACGATTTTACCAATAAAAAAGTGTGATGTTGGAAAGTGATGTGGTTGTTGTCAATTTATGTGTTTAGATTTCAGCCTATTAAAACACGTAAATTCTTAATGGGTTTGTTTAATTTCGATACTCAAATTTACGTCATGTCAAAATGTAATATTGCTCTCTTTAATTTAATCATATTTCAGCTTCTTGAATTTTGGACACTGCTGCTAAAAATAATAATTCTAAGTTGTTGAATACGGTACAATGTAACTTTCTAATTTTCGTGGATTTTAATATCCATTGTTGATGACCATTTAAGAAACCTTAAATGGCCATAATTATTGCAACATTTAATAATGAAGTCTTGCAATTGGTGATTTAATTTTCTATATTTTTATTGTAATGTGTAGTTTTTACATTTTTTTTTATTATTCAGAGTTAAAGCTGCCATTGTGAAAAAAGAAGAAATGGTGAACAGTTTAAGGAAGCAGCATGAGGTTTGTTCACTTGAAATATTAATGTTTTAAATCACACGTATTTATTTTAATATTTAACTTTATATTGTCATAATCATAATTAAATGGTCAATGATGGGTGTGGGCTTATGATAATGTAAATCCCTCGGCTATTTGATGGATTACTATAGAATCCAATGATCGTTATAATAATAGATGATGCTGCATATTTCCAAGTTGAGTGCAAATGCCATGTGGTTCGTGGCACTGTGGTTTAACGGCAGTCGTGTGCTGCAGGCTTCTGTAAAGCGCGCAGAGCATCTTGAAGGCCTCTTGGAGCAGCAACGGAAGCAGCTACTTGGGAAGTGAGCTGCGAAAGGTTTCTATTGACCTGTATGTTGAACGTCTTTCGTACCGTACGTAACACACCGTGCTCATCGGAGGTGCGAACCTCATTATGGTCCAGTGTAGTTACAGGGAGGCTGTTTACTGATCCTATTTGAGGGGCCTTGTCGCGATGTTGGGATGACAATGTTTCATTGTGCCCCCCTATTTCCCAGGAACCCAGTATTTATTGAATTATAAATGTAAGTGTAGTCCAATAGTGGCTGCAGTGAAAACAATTTGTGTGCTTCTCGATGCCACATTGTATTGAGCTCACCACAAGATTATTTTAGGCATTTACAATGAATAAAGGCATTGAGATATTGATAATTGTTAAATACATTAACTGTGGTTTATGTTAAATACATTTACTGTGGTTTATGTATTTAAAAATTGCATGTTTTGTATGTGGGAACATATTATAGAGCCTAAACATTTGTATCGTTGACTGACAATTTCAGTGTTGTTAGGGTCAGATAAATACATGCATTTGATTTTTTAGAAACTAAACTCCTACTTCTACGACAAAAGTAAAGCAATTTCAAAAGTGCCTGTCCTATGCTCTGAGCTGTCCAGAGCCATTCTCTGCTGGCTGTGTGGATTTTGGCGAGCCCAGTAGCCTAGATTCACATTACAAGTTGTCATTGTAAGTTGTGGTCCTTTTGCTACGATTTTACCAATAAAAAAAGAGTGTGATGTTTGAAAGTGACGTGGTTGCTGTCAATTTACATGTTTTAGATTTCAGCGTATTGAAAACACGTACATTTTAATGGCGTTTATTTATTTATTTTGACACTCAACTTCACGTCATGTCAAAATGAAATATTTATCTCTTTAATTTAATCATATTTTACCTTCTTGAGTTTTGGACATTCTTACACAAAATAAGAAGTCTAAGTTGTTGAATACAGTACAATGTGCCGTTTATGGCAATACAGTACTCTCATATTCCAGATGAAGTGCATTGCATCATATATGCACAAGTAACATACCTGTCAACCCATACGGTTTACCCGTATTCTTGTCCAGGGAAATTGAGTTTTCAGGTCCATACAGCGTACAGCCGTTTAAATACAGGCAGCAATCATGTTTGTTGTCTATGTGTTTGTGTTTCTCCATTGTGGTGATGGAACTTTGTAGGATGAACGTTGGCATTTATAAGGGTACGGGGTGACCAATAAGGTCTGAATTGGTCTGTAATAAGGTAGGCAGTAATAAGGGATTTGACAGGTATGAAAAGTAACGGCATCCATGAACAGCGGGCATCTAACATGCAACTGTTGGATATGCGCCTTTTTCCAAAATTAATATTAACAAGAAATTCGCTTATACATATATACTTTTTTTCCCGAAATAATTAATGAATGAAAACATAAGAGCATAGTAGCTGAAAAACAACACGTAAGCCAAAAAGACGCCATGTCCTCCCGTAGCGGGTGAAAGCGGAGATAAGAGCGTGCCAACAAACTCAGCAGCAGACCTTGGCAATAATTGGGTTGGGGAAAAGGCAAGGCAATTATCACAGGCTATCTGTGTGCAAGGTAGGGCTAACCTAAACAAACCGCACGTGGAGGCCACGAGAGGGCCGTTGTTTTGAAATTAAATGAGGCAGACAGAACATTGACACTAACACTCCACCTTATAATTAAATAAATAAATTTGATAAATGATGGGCTCCAAGGACAACCTTCCAACCTCAGCACGGGCCGCTTAAAAAAAAACACAGCTGAGAGCAAGCGGTGCCTAGGGTCGCGGAGAGTTCACGTTAGCCTAGATATAGGTGAGTAAAAAAAACTCAACCATTTATTCTGCATCTTCTAGCGTTAAAGTTCGAAATTCGACAACAGGAGTAGGCTAAACTATCGATCCTCGTGCTCGCTCCAATTGGAGACAAAGCCACGAGCTACATCAGGAACTATTGCCCATTTGCTAATCCAATTCTGAATGTTAATTCATCTTTAATAAGTTTCTGTACAACCTGACCGAAGCGTATGACAAACACAGAATTTTACTAAAGTCAAAACGAATTCCCTAACCTTAGCACATAGGCAAATAATAGGGCAGTGTTGAATCAAGGACAATGGAAGAGGCGCCTTTGTCTAAATCGTAGCGTGAGAGAGAGGCAACACTGAATGCAGCGTGTGAAACTGACCTCGGCACGCTAGAGATAAGAGTGGAAAGAATCAGAGCCGACTCATTATTGCTGCCACCTGTACTCACAAGGCTGAGAACCGATAGATAACACTTCTCCACCGCAGCCAGACGGAATGACGAAATTAATGAGGAGCCTTGAGACGCATGGCGGTGTAGTCCGGATAAAGGCGCAGCCCTGAAGCAAGGGCGGGAGAGACCCCATTGGGTGTTTGTGCTGAAGCTAGCAGTTGCACGATAATGGGGCAGAGACTGAGACAGACAGCGAGAGAGTGGGACAGGGAGTTTCATTTAAAGGCGCCATGAGCTATGTCCCGCTAGCATGGCCTTGCAGATACTTGAGACCGGGGGCCAGGGAAAAAGAGTGTCTCCCGGCCGCCTTTGTCTCCCTGCCGTACATGATGAGAGTATACATATGCTTAAGAGAGCACTTTCCATGGAGCTAAAGTCAAGCGCCACGAGGGAAGACTGACACAGCAAACAAGCAGACCTCGAGTCACGTGCAGAATTATAACTGTAAGTCTGTGATGAAAATGTTAACTTAAGTAAAACTTAACCATTTCTCCGTGCGTCGGTAAAGATCGTATGAGGGAACGTCGCCCCTCCCTCCAGGTTGCGCAACACATACAAAGATGCCTGTGAGATGATTTGTAACACCTGCTGTTTTTTTGATGGTCTATGGAAAGAGGAATCAATAGAACAAGGCTGTAAATGATGCACACGAGGATACGCATACACAAGGACACCCAGACGGACACACGCTCCAGACCACGACACACCGATAAATCCAAAAGAAGCCCCACCTTGTGGGGAGGAGTCAACAGGAAGGATTTTGGCATAAAAGAGGACGCTGCCGCATTGAAAGTTCAGTTCGGCCGGCTCATCGGAGTCCGGTTCGGCTCGGCTGAGCTCAGCTCAGCTGAGCCTATCAGCTGAGCTCGCCATCTCATCAGCAAGAGTTCGACCTGCGGGTCGGCTCAGGAGCGAGCTGCGACCACTGGTCGGCTCGACTCATCATCATCGGGGCTCAACTTCCCGGAGCGGCTCCCCATCTCATCTGCAGGCGGGCAAGACCCGCTTGACAGCTCAACTCGCCCCTGCGTGGGTCGGCCTCTGCCGACGCGGAGGTCTCTGCCACCTGCCGGGGTGGCGAGGGTCGCTGCTTAGCGACAAGACTACGAACGTGCATCGCCAGCACCGATTGCGCAACCGTGCCAAGCCGACTCCCCTCCTGCGCACGCTACGAGCGTGCTGTGTACGCCTTCAACTACAACAACGTGGGCCAGCTGACAAGCCGACGTCACCTCCCGCGCACGCTACGAGCGTGCTGTGTACGCCATCACAACTACAACAACGTGTCAGCTGGTCAGCCTACATCAACCAGTGTGGGCCGAGCCTAATCAACTGATCCGTATGACGCACACTGCTCCACTACACGACAAATCAGGCATTTGCTTGACCTAAAGACTCAACTCCAAACACTGACTCTTCAAAAATTCATATCACTCAAACATACACGGGTCCTTAACCAGAAGCCAATACTCAAGTTCATAGGCCATCAGTGGCTGTGAAGGCATTGCGGCATATCGGGTGAACACTCTATCGTTTATAAGTATATTCGTAATATTCCCTCCTTAATATTTTGTTTTGGGCTGTACTTCTAATCGCATAAATTACCAACCGATCCATCAATACAAATTAATCCTTGACCCCTTCGCCACGGAGCTACGCTCACGTGGGGGGGGGGATAACGTATCCAACCGGCTTCCTTATCAGGCGATCTGGTCCACAATTAAACGTTAGTCCAAGATAAGGATATCAGGGGAGAGAGCACACCACACTGCACCCCCTCAGCCATTGCGGTAATCATATAATCTACCCGATGGATCTGTTGAGATATTTGTGCCTTTGGGAATAATAACTGTTTTTGATCGCCTTTTTCGTATTAATATCGTCATATAATCTTTAAGTACTTCTCATTACTGATCGCGCACGTACTCGCGTACTCTACAGAATAATTAACTGTTCCTTGACCTAATGTGCTAACAACGTCATAAGGGTTGCTTATAGGTCTATGCATAAGCGCGGTACTGTGTGCAAATTCTAGTATAACCTCATAATAGAGTAAATTCCAGTATAATGTTTCATAATAGAGTGAATTCCATTATAATCTTTCATAATAGAGTATCAAGTTTTGTTGTATACTCTTTGGTTCTATTGGGTAAAGTCACGTAGGTAAAAATAAAATAACAAAAAATCACGACGTTTCGGCCACAACACAAGCGGCCTTCATCAGGTGAAGGGACGAGACTGTCTGGAGGAGAGCGCTGGAGTGAGAGAAGCCACGCTTAGATCACGACCTTTAAGCTGTGTGAGAAGAAAACAAAGTGCCTTGACAAAGGAATTAGCATATAATTTAGCATTTAAATGGCTCATTGAAATAGCTAAGTTAAAGTATACACATCCGCAGAGGTACCCCTTGACAAAGGAATTAGCATAGAATTGAAATAGCTGAGTGATTAGCTTGTAACTGGTCACAGAAATAGCTATGTTAAAGTCAGAGCATATACATTCACCGAGGCACCTAGTACTAATCAAACAGGAGAATTTAGCGAAACACAACCACGCTCAGACAGCGGACCTTTAAACTGTGTGCGAGCAAACAAGGTGTTCTGACAAAGAAATTAGCATAAAAATTAGTATTTGATTGGCCGATTTTAGGAAAGAGGTGGTGTACGTGCCGGTGGACTTGCCGTTTGGCGCGGGGGGGGGGGGGGGGGGGGAGTTTACCTATTCATGGTGTGAAAAGGGAATTTATAAGAGCTGCGAAAGTTTGGGGTACCACTACTTGAAAAAATATACTGTACCATTGAAATTAGTTTAATGTTTAGTTCGATTTAGAACATCTTTCCAATGGTTGCTTAATTTGAAACCATCTTCTCGGTTGGAATTGTGTCTGTGTTTGTAGATCTGAATTGCTTCATGAACAAATCTCTGATAAAAGCCCGTGGGTTTGCAAAGAACCTTGGTATCGGAGAAAATTATATCGTGATCCCCCACAGCGTTGTAACAGTGATCAGCAACGGCAGAAGAATTCGTTTTGCCGTGTTTCAAATCTGATTTGTGCTCGCGAATTCGGTCAGAGACATGTCGCTTTGTCTCCCCGATATAGCAATCACCGCAGGTGCAACTCAATTTGTAAACCCCGGGGTACTGTAAGTCAGGAATGACATCCTTCACGGATGGGATCAGATCACGAATTTTGTGTACTGTATTGAACCGGACCTGGATCTTGTGTTTGTTTAGAATTTTGGAAATCTTTTTAGTAACGCCTGCTATATATGGAAGTGTGATGGTTTTGACCGGAGTATCAAGTGGTTGTTTCTGTATGGAGGGAGAAACAGCTTGGCGGATGGTACGGTCAGAGTAACCATTCCTTTTGAGGGCCAGGTGTACATGTTTTAATTCACTGGTCAGGTGGTGTTGGTCCGAAATGCAATGAGCCCTATGGTATAAAGTTTTGATGAGAGAATTATTTTGGGCTGGGTGGTGGTGGGAATCAGGTTTCAAGTAGGAATCTGTGTGGGTGGGTTTCCTGTAGACAGAATGCCCCAATGAGCCATCAGTTCTCCTCTCAAACAGAACATCTAAGAATGGTAGCTTGCCATCTTTCTCCACTTCCATGGTGAATTTGATGGCGGGATGTCTGGAATTTGTTGTGTTTAGATGTTTTAACGACTCTCTCTCTCTCACCAACAGCTCGCGTCACGCGGCGGAGTTAACCACAGGTGCTGTTGTCAAAGTGAAACAACCCAGTCATTGATGAGACTGTGTTGATACTGTGTTGTAATTCCAAGCCGAGAGTTGTATCTTTTAGAGTTAAGGTTTAATTAGAAATAAATTGATTAATGCAGAAGTGGTCGTGTGATTCTTTCCTGAAATCTATGCATAAGATCTGGTTCTGCGATGAGATATGAACTTGGTGACCTTACACAAACACTCTAACTGAGATATGAACTTGGGGACCTTACATTAAAATACTCTAATTGAGACCTGAACTTGGAGACCTAACATAAACACGCTAATCCATACTCAGTAAATGTTAAAGCGAGAATGATATGAACTTGGGGACCTAACATAAACTCTAATCCATACTCGGTAAATGCTAAAGCGAGAATCATTGTATTATCCTGATCGAGAATACGAAGTTAAACCACGAAGCCGAGTTGACTCTTGACACTAGCATAACTGCATACGATTAGTTGCATTATCCCGATTGATATCACCACCTCGTCAACGAGGCGGGGCCTGATTATCATAAAGGCTGTCATTGACATAACCACACCCACTCGTATAATTAATACGATTATCTCTCGAATTAGCATAATTTATACGCATAATTACACAAATTAACATTTCGGAATAATTATGCAAATTTCAAATTTCATTTAATTTTCATTATTGTCATCAATTTTCATAACACCCACATATACAACACAACCAATGAATCAAAGTACCTTTTTTTTGGGTCACGATACACACTTGAAATTATACGTGAATATGTTTTGATGTATGCAATTATTTATTTTAGTGTAATGGCTGGAATAGGACAGAACAAACGAGAGATGCAAATCCCGAATCAACTATCGATTGTTGGCTACGTATGGTGTGAAAGAAGTTCAACATACGTTAAAAAAGTTTCATTGCTTTGGTGAAGTCTCCACTTTATTTGAAATTTAAAATTACAATGCTAGACAGTACTGTTTTGAATTGACACATATTGCAGCGTTACTAATATCAAGACTTGGAATATCATAAAACTTGTATTTATGCAATACCTCTCTACATTTAGTTACTTAAGTATGCATTCCTAATGAAACACTAAACATAGACTATAGAGTACATAATAGGATTAATTATTGTCTTGCAAGTTATCTAAAACCCTTAAGCAATCAGACAGTTCCATTAAAATAACTGCCATCACTTAATAAACACAAACATAAACACGAACAAAACTAATTGAAGATCATAAACAAATGTGCATGTCAACATAATAACCACATTAGTCACCTGATAATCCGACAAGTACTTAACACATTGACATTTACGAATGTGAACAATGTGGAAATGTGTTTCCTCCACTTTGAACTCGGTTTCCTCCCTTGGATTTTGTAGTTGATCAAATTTCCAAATTTTGCATCTGCTTATTCGTGGGAATGTGCTCCATCTATATCATACACGGCTATACCTGAACAAAACTTTCCGACCATGGTGACCAATAACTAATGCCCCCGAAAGTTGAAAAAGAAAACCAGCAATGTTACTTGATAATTTCCCACACCTCCGATTAGCACGGTTGGCTGCGTATGGTGCAAAAGAAGTTCAACATACATAATTGGGGTCTTATAGGGGTTAAACTTGTTCATGGAATCAAATCTAATCAAGACAGTACCCCTTCATAATTCCCAGTTGTCAACACTGGTGGATGCAGCCAGTACTATCATGCAATGTGGGAATCCAGCAACCAAGGGTGGCTAGACGCTCCGGGAACCTCTCAGTGGGAGTGTGCGTTTCCTGCAGATGGAACTATAGCTCCAGCCAGCATCGTCTTGTATAAGTCAGACTTGAGGTAGCGTGGATACGAGTCCTGTGAAAACAAATAATATAAAATGTTATTGTGTGAAAGCAATCACATTTTAAGATGCTTCCCAACGCTGTGACTATCTCCTGTTTACAGCCTTGAGCCAGTGGTGGAAATTCCTCTTTTTATGGTAGGAGCAAGTCCATAGGACAACCGGTGTTGAGTTTCCCCCACAGTAATACTTATCAACCCTGGAGGGATGATGGGCTGAGTAACCCCCCCCCCCCCAACCAGCATGCGAACTCGCGATCTTCCGACTGTGAGCCGCTCGCCCGACTGCTGAGGCACAGGGCCATTCCCAAGGCGTTTTACAAAATAAAAATGATCAAACAAAAAGCACCCCCTTTTAGAGTAGAAGGGGTGGAGGGGGTCAGGGTGGGGGATGCAGCCCACGATGGATGGGTATGTACTTAAATAAGAGGGTAATCAAGTATATTTACGTGATACTGCACTTGCCTTCTTCATTAGCATGTAAATGTGTGCTTGGGCTGCCTCGAGCACGTAACGATGTGGAGATTTGAGGCCTTCCAACGTCACCGCCATCGTCTCCGCGTCAATGTTGATGCAGCGTTTAGCCCAAGGAGCTAAGAAGTCTCTAGAAATGCAAACGGATTTATGAATTGCAAGTTAACGAACACAAATTGTTTAAAAGTTACCCGAACGTGTTTAAGAATTCAACACGTAAGCTTTCGCAGCCGCTTGTACTCCCAAGTGCGGGTATCCTGGGTTGGGTTGAGCAATGCACATTCTTTCTCTTTAAACTTTGGCCACGCACGACTGCGGGCGTCTTCAGCAGTTGAATTCGCTGCACCGCACGCATCCTTGTGGCGAACGCGTCGAGCGGTGAACAGCTCAACGCGCTAGCCCAACCCAGAAACCCGCGCCTGGAATACGTCGATTAAATATGGAAAGTCCGTTTTTTGTTGTTGTTGCTGTTATCAGGTATTGGTAAAAATAAAGAACACACATTCTTACGTGTAAACTTGTTCAACTTTTTCATGCAGCTTGGTGCAGTCTCCATATAAAAGGTCCTCGCAGGCTTCCCAGAAACTGAGATTTTCACCTGAGCAGATAGAGTACACCACTTTGACACGCATACCACGCGGAGCCTTTCACTCTGGGCTGGCACAATGAGCTCACCATCAAAGCGCGCATTTCTTTTCATAACGAGCTTTTAAGCAAATACATTTAAGGTCTCCCCCCTCCTCTTTTCCGAACATAGATGGACTCGTCCATCTGAACAAACTGTCAAATCGCTCTCCGTGGTGCTAACGTTAAAAATAACCGCCACTTTTTTCAAATTTTCTTGCTGTGGGTTTCACACCTGATGATGATTGCTTGTGTTGCAGTCGAAACGTCGTGAGAATTTAATTGTTTCATATTTTTATTATTTAATTGTTTCCCTTCTACGTGCCTTTACCGAAAGAACCAAGAATATGAATCCCTGCAGTCACGAAAGCTTTAAATCAAAATTTACATTTAAGGTAATTACAAGCATCAAAATAATAACACGGTTGCGAAAGTAAATACACGCAGACTTGCATTCCTCGGGTGTTGTGCTGATCCGCTCACCACTGAACTCCTTGCACAAGAACTCCTGGAACTCCTTGCGACCGCGCAAGTCCTGGATCAGCTCTTGGAAGCTGAAGGCCCAGCGCTCCACTCGCAGTCTCAATGGCACCTCCACCCTGCCGATAGCAAAAGCATCTACGTGGGCCCCCACGTTTAAATAATCACGTTTTTCTCTTTGACATTGCATAACATTCTCTTTCATGCAAATTGCATTTATTAACCATATTGCTATTATTATTAAACGTTGTTTATTTTACCAGGTAAGGCCCCACTGAACCATGTAGCTCTTTTTCAGAAGCCACCTGGCCATCACAAAAGATAGCTCAACGAAGTGGCTCATGTGGAAATTTCTAGCAGCCAAATAACTTGAAACGCGTGACGTTGATTCTAAATGTGGAGGGAAAACAGGTCCTGGAGAAAAATACACGCAACCACGGATACAGCATGCAGGCGTCAGGGTTGGGATCGAACCCACGACCTCCTGCATACTCGGCGAGGGAAATAACATCTCACCACTGCGAATCTAGGCATTCAGATTCGTGCTAAAATTAACTATGGTCAAGGTTCTCCAATTATCGAATGTAGCAAAATTATTAGTAAAATACAGGCATCGTAAATTTAATAATCTGGCAGCAGGGGCGTTGGTGCAGTAGTCACTATTTAGCCTCACAGCAAGCAGGGCCTGGGTTCGATTTCCGAAACGGGTTCCTTTCTGTATGGAGTTTGTATGTTCTCCCCCTGTTCTACTTGGGGTTCTTCCGTGTTCACTAGTCTCTTTTTCCTCCAGTTAAAAGCATACAAAGTCATGGCGTTGACCAAACATCCCAACGTAGCAGGTGCCTCGTGTAAAAAAAAAAGTCTCCAGAGTCAGTAAAGCTTTCCTGGGGTAAACAAGTAAATGTTCATCGCTACGAATAACATTTTTTGTTTTAATCAAGTACTGTGTAGGCTTTAACGACTTGATATCGTGAGCGCAATGGTTGGCTACGTACGGCGTGAAAGAAGTTCAACATCCATATAGCCGACATACGTGTGGCTACGTGGAAACGCTGGTACGCACATTGTAGCGTTGAGTACCCAGTATGTCGTGGCATTGCTCATCCAGGGGTTGTTGGGCAAACAACCGCTCAGCAAGGGGTCGAGTGGAGTGAACTGCTCACTGTATTTGATGAGCCTGCATAGATTTGGACACAATTGTACCTTGCAAAACACATTTTTTTTGTTTTAACCAAGTACTGTGTAGGTATTATAATACTAATAGGGTTTTTCCCCTTTTTTCTTGCAACAAAACTGAAACCTTTTTTACAAGGATTCATGTCTGCATTAACCACAATACCTGCAGTCAAAATGCAAACAAAAAACATACTATGATAATATATGCATTGTCCTTGAAACTGATTGGTCCACACCAAGGGACGGCTTTCTTTCAAGGACAATGCATATATAGTCATAGTATGTTTTTTGTTTGCATTTTGACTGCAGGTATTGTGGTTAATGCAGACATGAATCATTGTAAAGAGGTTTCGGTTTTGTTGCCAGAAAAAAGGGGAAAAACCCTATTATTACATTTTGGTACTGGCAAAGGAGGTCTAATGATGATACTGTGTAGGCTTTTGACTTTCATTCGAACCACACAACGTCCTTTAAAATAAGTATTTGACAAAAACAAAGTTACACGAGTGATTTATCTTAAATTAATGAAGTCACTTTAGAAGCATCTATAAAGAAAGACCTTAATCTGTATGTCTCAAAAACCTCAAGGGTACTTCCCGACAAGGCAGAAAGCTACATGTAGATTTTAGGTCACAAGCAACAGGAAAAATCTGAAAATCAGAGATTTTTCATTTTAAAACCCCCAAATCTCGATTTTAAGTTCCCCATCAAGATGTTTGTGCGCGTCATTCAGAAACCGTTAAAAATATAAGATTGCGTTTTTTTGTATTTTGATAGGTCGTTAAACAGAAAATAAAATTTAATCGAGAACCATTGTTTTAGCTTTCATTGTTTTTGAGATATTTCGGATTAAGGCGGTTTCAACGAAAAAAATACGCGTTTTATGATGTTCAAATCTGAATAATTAAAAGATAGGGGTTTCTCTTCATATTAAAACAAGAACGGAATCTTTAAATTGAGCGGTTTCCGATGGCTACCTCTTTAAATATAAGAAGTTGAATGAAGTCAACAATTTTTGTGTTTTTCTTTCAAGGGTAAAACATACACATTTTTGGAAGTAGTTGTTAGAGTCTGATCGTAGATAAAAATGGTATAAAAAAATCACGTGACGTTAACTATTATATTTATTGAAAACAATTTACAAGCGTTATGAACTGGAATGTTAACAAAGACACGCACCCCTCAAGTGAGACGGATGGCTTCAATCTCGCTCTGCCTAGAGCTTTGCGACCATACACAATCTGGAGGGGTTGTGTGTGTAAACAGGTTCCACGAGACACGAGGGACAGACAACAGATTAATGTGACCGATTGTTGAGTGAAACAAACAAAAACACGTGCTTGTTATTCGTTGGAGTGCTCATCATAATTCACATCATTTTTTACGAGCATGTTTCAATCGGCATGGTTGCTGGCACTGCAATTCCTTGCTCATGTCACTGCTGGCGAAAGGACCTCCACTCTAGAGGGCATTTGGTCTACTCTTCCATGTTGACCAGATGCGTTTGACAAAGATCCCCCGTATAGCCTCAACAGACTGTAGGGGCGATGTTTTTACACACCGCACCAAATACTCATTTGAGGCTGAATCGACCTTGGGAAGGCCCATAACCGGTTCAGATGATCGTCACTGGTGTTGGCCGTGAGCGGGAACGAACTCGGGTCGCCAGGTTCATAGCGAGGCGAAGCGCTAACCGCGTTTGAGGAGGGGATTGTACCCACACTTCGTCCTGCAACAGGTGACCTGCCGATCGACTAACTCCGTGAACCCATTTATATTGCTGGGTGGACAGAGGTGGAGGGATTTGAGAAACTTGCTCCATTCACCTGCCACGCCAGGAGATGTGATCGCATACAGTATGGATGTTTCTGCGGCCGTCTGGAACGCTCTTCCTTCTGATATTAGTAAGCCACTGGAGCTATGCACTTAACATTTTTAATCTAGATTTAAAACGAACTTCTTTAAAACTGCTTATTGTGTTTAGTTTGGTGTCCTTCCCCCACACCTTTGATTAGGATGGTTAGCTACGTACGGTGTTGAAGTTGAACATACATGTATGTATGTATGTTCAACTTATTTCACACCGTACACACAAAGCAGTTCTAAAGCAATGAGTTTTCAATCGAGATGATTTAAAAGAAAGTGGCCTTGAACCTTGTGATATGAAAGACACTCCATAAATAAAATAAAGATGTTGATTATAAATAATATGTAAAGAATACAATACCTGTTTTTTGTAAAGTTCCGCAACCTGGGGGTAAATATGAAAGGTTACAAAGGAAGTAAATATTAAAAGGTCAATAATAAACCATTACACCACGGCAGCATCCATAGCCCTACATAACTGTGCTTTGTGAAACTCCAAGGTAGGGACGATGCTGTTTCCATGCACCTTTCATGATTAATTAGCAGTGTCATTCTCAAAATAATTGATGTTTTGAAGAGAGTAGTAAATCGTCCTTAATATGAATATATAGACATTTTTTACTTCAATGAACACTTGCTTTCTCATGTGTTGGTTATCATGTTCATCTCACGTGAGGATACTTGCCGGCTTTTGCTGATTTTCTATCTTTGTTGTGGTGTATTATGTACCCCCAAATGTGGTCATCCAGAACAGACCACACAACGTGTAACGACGCAATACCCCGATGCTCAAATACGAAGGAGACATCACGGCGATGATACACGACTCCACAACTGCTCCTGACGCGGTTATCTGTGGCTTGACCACCTCAATGCGACATTGTAGCCGTTGCTCTGCATCTACACCAGCAGCCATACGTACGAAAGAAATAAAAAGAGAGATGTACCCCCATTGCACGTTCCCTACTCTAGCTCACGCCCCTCGAATGACACGGAAGGCTCGGCTCAGATGCCACGTGCGTGTAAGGCTGTCGGGAAGAAAAAAAACACAAACAGACTGGTTTTTATTTGAAAGAATAGCACGTAGAGTGTTTATGCACGTTATGTATGTTGAACTTCTTTCGCACCGTACGTAGCCAACTGCGCTAATCGGAGGTATAATTGGTGTTTTGACTTTAAAATCGCTTTTTGAGTATTCAAATGGAAAGCGGATAGCTTACCTATTACCTGGTCGCGATGCAAAGCCATCGTGTGCTTTACAGGTCCATTCAATGCATCGTTGTCAAGTCCAGGCTGCAATACAAAGTTACACGAGTTCTCCATGTTCAGGAGACGGATTATTGTTAATCCACAGTGAGTCACCTTTCTTTCATCAGGTAACGTGAGGCAAAAAACTAAAACTGTTGCGTTCGGTAGGATATCTGAGCACTTTGGGGGGGGGGGGGGAGACCAGTTGCCGAGACGGAGTTGGGAGAGGTGTCCACATATCCGACGACATAATCGGTGACATTTCGGGCGATGGCTCCTTTTCTATTTTGCACACACGTAGAGAGGCCGGAGGATCATAAGAGTTGAAGATTGACACTTTACACCATGGGGCTTGAGATAATTTTTTGTTTTGTTTTCTGATGGCCAGTATTAAATTGGCATATGAATAGTTCCACTATTAGTAGCTATCAAGAGGTTTGTCTGTCATGCAATAGGATTCTAGATTAAAAAAATATATTCCGTGTGTCAGTATGGTCATTGACACATTCAACCTTTCAGTTCAGTTCAGTTTATTTATTTTGGTATAGCCCTGTGAGCCATTCGGCTCTTGAATCGGGTGCAACCACAACAAACAAAAAAACTAAAACATGAACAAGAAAACATCTTAAAGTGACGATGTGACTGTGCAAACAGAAAATCCATAAAAAAACCAGCAAAATATTCCTGAAAAAAGCACCGTACACCAACGCTGTGTGCAAAAAATCCCAGTGGGATGCAAAGTCAAACAACAACAACAACAACCACAAGAAAACTTAGATTAAGGCCATCAGTCTAACTCCGTACTACAACAAAACAAATATGTCCAAACCAAAAAACTTTTCGAAATCAATAAAAAATAAAGCCATAATTGCAACGTAACAGTGATCATAGGGACTGTGACCGAATTTTTACAATAAACTACATAAATAACATGTAACACCAAATCCTAGAGCCATAGCTGGCTGCATAAGTTACTCCACAACAACAGAAGCATCAGTCGGAGTATCAAATTTTTCAATGCACCTTTAAGATCAGCATGCTAAATCAAAATACAGATAATACTTTGCAGCATCATCCGGAGCGAAACATTTTATTTTATTTTATGCCAATGAATAGCAGTGGCAGCTAGGGGTGTACAACTTCTCTAGAGCAGTTTTGAGAGAAGATCTCATTGGTAGCGATTCAAGTTGCAGTTTATTGGCAATAGCATTCCAGACCCTGGGGGCATCAATAGCAAAGGCCCTTCCTCCAGTTTTTGTACGGCAATAGGGAATGTGAAGCTGGTAAATGAGCGAAGACCTGAGGTCAAATTTGTTCTTTGAAACAGAGAGGAGATCCAACAGGTAGTCTGCGGATTTTTTTGTAAGTACATCGTGAATAAATAAGATCTGGTGCACAAGCCGTCGAACATTAAGAGATGTTAAGTTTGACCCAATGTAGAGATCACAGTGGTGAGTCCTATATGGGCAGTTCAATGTAAATCTTAAGGCCGAGTGATAGATGGAATCAAGCTTCTTCAGTACAGTACTTGGGGCTGATTTATACACGATGTCACAGTAGTCAAGTAGAGGCAGTATGGTAGCTTTTATCAATTCCAAACGGAATATTGGGGGGAAGCAGTGCTTGTGTCGATACAGAAAACCAATTTTTATTTTTGTCTTTTTACCAATATAATCAATGTGATCTTCAAAATTCAGTTTTGAATCCAGGATGACCCCAAGACACTTATAGATCTTGACTTGCTCTATTTGATAATTATTTAAGGAATGTAATTGGGGAAAAATAACTTCCTGCTTTAGTCCTGGTGAGAAGCATAGCACCTTGGTTTTGGAGGTATTCAGGACTAGCTGATGTTGTAGTTTGTTGAAATCACCCTGTAGCTTAGCAATCACGTCATCCGGAGAGCGGCCAGCAGTAATCAGTATCGTGTCATCTGCAAAAAGATTTACCCTGGAATGATCCAGCTCAGTGCCCAAGTCATTGACATAAAGAGAGAACAAAAGGGGGCCGAGGATGGAACCCTGTGGAACCCCTTTTGTTATCTTAACACTGTTTGACCTCCAACCATCTGTGAATACAGTTTAGGTGCGAAAAAATAGGTAATTTTGTAACCATTTTACTGCGTTTTCGGAAAAACCGAGGCAATTTAGTTTACTAAGCAGGGTGTTGTGGTCTACTGTATCAAAAGCTTTGGACGGGTCTAGAAAAAGACAAGCACAGTACTGATTATTATCAAGGCTACCGTAAATGTGATTCAGAGAGTCTAATGCAGCAGATGTGGTGCTGTCATTGACCAAATTACTTTTCTGAGCACATGCCCAATCCTTGTCGCTAGTTTTCATGAGCGTTGTAATCAAAGGATCAAACCATGGTGGGCGGTTGCCTTTAGTTTTAAATCTAACCAACGGAGCATGTTTGTTAATAATTTGGAGAAACGTGTACCTGAAGGTCTCCCAAGCCGTAGTCAGGTTGGGGATATCACAGACCTTGTCAATATCCGAGTGAAGCACATCATTAGTAAATGCCTGAGTGCTGAAGTGTCTCATAGAGTGCTTCTCAACCAATTTAGGGGGGCTTTGGGTCTGGCTGATGATCTCACCCCAAAAATGAAGGAGTGATCACTAAGGTTATTACCCAGAACACCAGTCAGTGTGAAATTGTGAGGGGCATTTGTCAATAGGACGTCAAGCAGAGATAACTGTCCCGGATTTTTTAGGTTGGGTCTTGTGGGGACATTTATTAATTGAAACAGGTTAAATTCATCTGCAAAATTTGTGGCCACGGCCGGCGGGTTTAGCCAATTCCAATTTAGATCACCCACTAAAACTATTTCACCTTTAGGGAGGCCCCCAAAAAGCTCTCTCAGTGCAGATGCAGCTTCAACATCCTTCCCACTAGGCGTTCGATAGCATCACACTACCAATATCTGTTGATTATTTTTCGCTACGGTCTAGGCCTGCAGAATATTTGCGGACTTACCGGTGGCCGGGCCACCCTCCAGTAGGCCTGCTCCTGGCTGGCCAACACAGCCCGATCACCTTTTCTTCGTTCCTTCAGAGTCCTAGACAAACACACGCTCAGCTCCAATGCACGTTTGTGTAGCGATGTAAATGAGCTGCGTACACTTAGCTGCAGGGGCAGACACAGTCCAGCAGGGGCAGTCGCTATATTCCTAGCCCCAAAGCAGGAGGGGGCTACGGGGTGTCCTGGGATCCCCCGGAACCCCCCTCTGGAACTCTCTGGAAGGCAGGCGGGGCCAGGGACTGACACACTGGGGCGGTGTATAAAAGCCAGGCCCTTGGAAGCAAGTGGGAAGCGAGTGGGAAGCAAGTGGGAGCACGTGGGAAGCGAGTGGGAAGCGAGTGGAAGCGAGTGGGAAGCACGCGGGAAGCGAGTGGGAGCACGTGGGAAGCAAGTGGGAAGCACGTGGGAAGCGAGTGGGAGCACGTGGGAAGCGAGTGGGAAGCACGTGGGAAGCGAGTGGGAAGCGAGTGGGAGCACGTGGGAAGCGAGTGGGAAGCGAGTGGGAAGCGAGTGGGAAGCGAGTGGGAAACGAGTGGGAAGCACGCGGGAAGCGAGTGGGAAGCGAGTGGGAAGCAAGTGGGAAGCACGTGGAAAGCGAGTGGGAAGCGAGTGGGAAGCGAGTGGGAAGCACGCGGGAAGCGAGTGGGAAGCGAGTGGGAAACGAGTGGGAAGCACGCGGGAAGCGAGTGGGAAGCGAGTGGGAAGCAAGTGGGAAGCACGTGGAAAGCGAGTGGGAAGCGAGTGGGAAGCACGCGGGAAGCGAGTGGGAAGCACGTGGGAAGCACGCGGAAAGCGAGTGGAAAGCACGCGGGAAGCGAGTGGGAAGCGAGCGGGAAGCGAGCGGGAAGCGAGTGGGAAGCGAGTGGGAAGCACGTGGGAAGCGAGTGGGAAGCGAGTGGAAGCACGTGGGAAGCACGTGGGAAGCACTGCACTTGTTTTCTCATTCATTCTTACCTGATGAGGGTTGCTTGTGTTGCAATCGAAACGTCGTATTCTATTATTTATTTTATTCTATTTCTACGTGACTTTACCGAAATAACCAAAGAGTAATTCCTGCAGTCACGAAAGCTTCAAATCAAATTCCAATTCAACATACAATAAAAACGATACATCCATACCATGATTTCTGCGCGTTATGAATTATCAATACATTCCAATATTTACACCGTTTCAAAGTGCAATGTGGTGGCAGCTCACACACTAACCGAATTTGCTCTTGAGCCTGAATGATCACAAAGTCCCACTTGTGGTGTTCACTCCTGAAGAGTTGGTGATACTGCACCTGTGCAGCAAACATTACACGCGTTGCGTAGCCCATGGTCGAAGTGGGGAGTTCAGAAGGGCCGCTATGAATTCGTTCCGCAGCCCCACGGTTTTAACTTCCGATTCCCTCAGTAGCGGAATCGTCTCGCACCTCGGAAGATGAGGCCTTCTGAAAAGTGCCGTCGTGCGCGTTCCGAGAGGTGCCGTACCGTTGTATACCGGTCCATTTCCACCTCTGTGCATTATGTTCCTTGCTGTAGCGTAACTTAGCGTGGGGGGCAGGCAGGGGGTGCATTGCCCCCCCCCCAGGCCGGTGGCCAGAGCTACGAATTGGGGGCCCCCTTAACAACTACCGTGAGATTTGTTTTCAACACTGTAAAAAAACTAAAACCTATGCAAAGATGTGATTAGTCAAGAGGAGCTGTGATATACAGGGAGGAATATTGGGGGGGGGACACATCCCCCCCCCCAATATTCAAATAGGCTCAAAATGTCCCCCCCGAAATATAGTGCTATAAAAAAATAATTGCTATGCTATCTAAATAAAAACAACAATTTGCTAAACCTTGGCCACAATATCTAGACTTGTCTTCATATAAATCAATGCATAGATTTCTGTTTACGGTATATGATTGCGGCTATGGTAGTCGTTTATTAATCCCTAATCTCTGCCATTACATGCAATGAAACAAGAAAAGGTAAAAAAAGTAAAAACAAAGCAATACAATACACTCTTAGACATTATTGTAAAAAATAAAGAAAAAGTCCATCCCATGTGTTAGTGAATTTTTTTTCTATTTTCGGCAGGAAATTAGTTTTCAAATGTAGATGTTTTTCTGGGGGGGGGACCCCCAGACAACCTGGAAGATTACGTCCCCCCCAATGTTGACTCCATGGTTACGGCCTTGTTGTCAACACGTGCCTGTAATCTTCTCCAGGTGATCTCCAGAGCCTGGAGGCACATTTCTTGCGGTATTGTTGCAAATTCTCCAAAGTGTTAACATTTTTCTGAAGCACCATGTATAGCTAGGTGTGACCGTGTAAGACAATAAAATATTGGGGCCCCACCTGACCGATTGCCGCACCTTCTGAGCTGATAATGCAATTACTACACCACTAATTAAATCACATTCATTACAGTTACTTCAGTGTTCACATACCTTCTCATACTCTGCCAGTTGTCCATTACTTAGAACATTTTTCTTGACAAGATGCACAGCTGTAATTAAAATATCAACAACAAAAAAATGTCCCCAAACACATCATTTGAGCAAGGCGCCTGGAATGCCACGGTATTTAACACGTGGCTTTCGCGACCAATAATATCCTTATGGCTGTGTTCGGTGATATCGGGTTTAACAACACATTTATATTTAGGCGATCTAACTAAAAAACATTTGTATTATGCCACGGGATTGTTTGTGCAAACCACAGATGTGAACCCGCGGGTAAAACATATATATTTGTATTTTGCAAGATAGACTTCAATGTTCAACAAAGTTAATATCAATAATTATAACATTTGCACTATAATGCAATCTGTGGACCTTACAAAGATAACATCTCGCGCCCCTTAAATAAATAACAAAAATAAATGGGCTGGAGATGAGACGTCATGTCTCTGAAGGTACACCATTTTATTCATTAATGTGTTTTCACTTTACGTCGGTTGTTGACGTGAATTTACGGACCGTTTTCATACAGCTGATGTTCAGTATATGAACACATTATTATTATTATAATATTTTCATAGGCCCAACGGTGTGGCAACCCGCGGGAGGTGCATTGCAATCCAAACCGGCACCGCTGTCCGACTGAGTTTGACGCCCCCTGGCCCTCGTGTGTCATCGTGGTGTCAGAATCACAATCAGAAAGGGGGTTTACTCGCCATGAAAGTTCGCACGGACAAGGAATTTACTTTGGCAGGAAGGTGCATACATTCAACATATAGGAATCTTAAATCTTAAATAAGTGGTATACAAGTCTAACTATAGTAAAGGTACAAAGTCTAACTAACACTAAGGGGCTAAAGTATGTAAAATTTTGAATGAATATTGAATATAAAGTAGCTATAAGATACAATCTAAAAATAAAAAAAATACAAATAGGGTAACATAGTGTAAATATGGCAAGGTGTCATTTTGTAGATAAAATGTTAAAGTCAGTGTAAGCCCTTGGCCTTGTTGAAGAGGCCAGCAGCAGTTGGGAAGAAACTGTTTTTGTGGCGTGAGGTTTTGGTCCTGATGGACCGCAGCCTTCTGCTGGAGGGGAGTAGCTGGAACAGAGAGTGTCCAGGGTGGGAGAGATCGGCCACAATCAGTGGAGCGCTAATCTCGTTTGAGGACCTGGCGTGGTCAGGACTGGCTCACCGTACTCCACGTCGCTGGCCTCTCGGTGTCTGTCTGGCCAGAAGTAAGGAGTCTGCCACAAACGGGTCAAGAGGAAAAAAAGTGGTCAATATTGGTCAACCTTTAGACGCAGAACACGTGTGGTTTCGCAGCCAACATTATGATTCCTAATTTTTTGTTAAATGTAATGCTTGTACACGTGATTATTACTCTGTTTGGCTGTGTTGGGTGGTGAAGATTTTGTCAGAACATTACGTAGTCTAACCCTGAAATCACTGATTAATTTAAACACTAAAGTTACACAGAAATTGTGACATCTCGGGGAAGTAATTGTGCACAATGGGGAAAAATAAGCACAATTGTTAAAAACACAAACAAAATAGTTATTATTTAAAAACAGATTTAATTGCAATGTGCGTTACAAATGTAAGTTAAATAATTGTAATGCTATGAGATGCTATGTATGCACTTCTTTCGCACCGTACGTAGCCAACCATGCTAATCGCAGGCTGGGTGACAAAGACAACAAACTACACACCAAAAGCGGTTCGAAAGAAATTAGTTTTCAATTTAGTTTTAAGAGTGTATAGCTCCAGTGGCTTCTTATAGACCACAGCTGTAGACTATGCGGTGGCTGTATCACAGATGTATTCCATCTATTGATGCTACACTGCGTGTGTGTGTGTGGTAAGGGTCATGTGACTCTTGTCTACCTGGAAGTGGTACAGCTTGCTTGGGTGAAAGCCGAGGTGTGCGGCTGGATGAACGGGGTACAAGTATCCATACTTCACCAGCAGGTTACAAAGGTTATATGTTTCTGAGAACAGAATATTACCCCGTCGGTTAACAGAATTACGACGACGATAATGACATTGAGAAAGACTGTCGCAATGGCCTTGAATAATTGACATCCGAGTGGAAGAGCACACACAGTGTTCAAACTCGGCTGTGGTCGGGATGGACAGCCAACTGTTTATGGCTCACACGAGACCTCGATTCTCTTAAATTATAAAATACCCTGATATGATAACCGTGATCAACCACAAAAATTACTCAGAAAACATTTGATTACACATCTGGTGTTCATAGGAAACAATCACAGCATTTGAAATATTTAACAAAGTTTAATGCATCTCACCTTCCTGCGTGGTTTTCATGTCCCTTAACATCCAGTCCGCAATGTTATAGCCTAGAACAGATGTGAAAGGCGCTTATAACGGGGTCCAGTCGTAGAGCATTCGCAATTAAACTGACCCTAATACGCTCTCTATATGATGGGGCACTTGTCGGACAGAACAGTGCAGGCAAAGGTTCATTTATAGAAATTCAATCTTATGTTTGTAACCATAACATTGGTCCCTCCGTCATGCCTTGCATGTGAAATTTATCACAGCCAAATTCTACTAGACGCACATTTCAGAAATTTTAAGGGAAAATAACCGGAGGACACGGACAAAAAAAATCCACGCGACCATGGGGATAACATGCAAATCCAGCAGGCGTCAGGGTCGGGATCGAACCTACGTCTAGGCGAGGAAGTTAACATCTGTGACGCCCCGAAGTTCGACAGGGGGCGTGGAGAGGAGAGAAATTCAGAGCGTGGGTAGCCACACATAATTCATGTGATTTAAGGGAGGCGTGAGCCGATTTATATATTCAGATGTCAATGGTTCAGGATAGTATTGCATACGCATTGTGTTACCGATGCTTGCGTTGGGGATCGCAAAGGTGATCAAATGGCGAGTGAGCAGTGGAACTCCTGTTTGCTTATCTTGCATTCTGCAAACCAAGCATTCCACCTACAAAAACAGAGATGCACACCAATATTAAATCACACGCAATTGCATTTTTTTAAAATTACCCACAAACCACAAAATTTGGATTACACACAGCTGCAACCATCGGCCCCTACTGGCAGACTAATTCCCGGTTGCAGACCAGGTGCCGACGAGTCGCTGTGCCCACAGGGACAACTGCCACTGGGGGTGCCCTTTAAAATCGATTGAGATGAGATGTGACATCGATTGCTTATTGTGTGTCAAGTGCTCTCTGAGACGCCCCTGGCATAGAGAGCGCTTACAGAATGTCAGAAACGTCATTATTTACATGGCGCTTAAATGCCTCAACAACTCAAAAGCTCTGTTCATCTCATCTCTACAGTTCGAAGGGGGACCCCCAGTGGCAGCTGCTCCTGTGCGGCCTTGCACCGATTGCTGCGTGTAAGCCCAGCTGAGTTACTGGAGGGGCAACTCCTTAAACCTGGCGGACTTTGAGCATCACGCCAGCACACAACGGCCCGCTCCATTCGAACGGCATCACATAACCCCCAAGACATGGGATGCAAGGTGCTCTGAGTGTATGCATGTACGTATGTTGAACTTATTTCGCACCGTACGTAGCCAACCGTGCTAATCAGAGTTGCTAAACACAAAGATGTTCAAAAGAAATGAGTTTTCAATACAGCGGTTTCTTGTAGACCACAGCTGTAGGGTATACTGTATGGGGGATGTTTCATAGATGTACTGAATCTGTTGATGCTACACTGTGTGTGTTGTAAGCGTCATGTGACTGGATGAACTGTACAAAGTTTAGGAGGCATTTAAGCGATGCCATATAATACAAATATGACTTAAAATAATAATAATTTATCTGCTGGAAGGTGTATTTGTTTGTGAGAATGCAGTCCGCTACGCAGGGCACATATCACGCTCTTGAGTGAGATCTGCATTAGAACAGATTTATGTTTGGCTGCATTCCATGTTTCCTTTTAGCAATATGGAGCCTTTGCCTGAAAAAGTTAATCTGGTACATAAATCAGCATATTACAGTGTTAAATCCTCATTATCCATCTGTCCTTTTTAAAATGTCAGGATTAACCAGGATAAAAGATTATACGAGATTGCATTTTGTTGCATAAACGGAAACATTTTTACCGACCTACATTGACCAGCATGGTGAAGTATGGTCAAATAACCCCCCCAAGAAACACACGGTATGGAGATGCCCCCCCCCTCCCCATCCAGCAGTGAATTGCAGAGGTTTGCAGTTCGGCTCCTTCAGGCTGCCCTGGTTATCACTGAGCGTCGTACTAACCTGTTAACAACGTGCCGTGCACTTCAAGAGAGAGGACGTTAAAACAGCGCCTCACATCATGCAAACGAGTAGGCCATCGCGTGTCAGCGTCATGGTCAAAATTACTTTTTAATTAAAAACTGTCCTCACAAATGACTCAATCAATAAAAACATTATTTCGTATAATGCCCTTCACAATAATACCGTCTCAGAGCGCTTCGCCTCCGATTAGCACGGTTGGCTAGGTATGGTGCGAAAGAAGTTCGACATACATACATTCACAGATGGACACGCTCAAAATGTACATCATTACATCACATCAATAAACGTCTTAAATAACACGACACAATAATTTAGGCGTTAAAAGTAACATTTAAAAATACTTTTTTTGAAAACACGCTTTAATGAAATGTACCGTACTCGTAATGTCAGAACTCCACGACTCCAAGAAGTGGCCGCAAAGCTTGGCATACCGTAAGGGGCCATGACCACATTGGGAAGTGGTTAAAATTGAGTTACAAGATTTAAGGATACAACAACAACATACAGAGTGAGTTAAATAAAAGCGTGTAATAAAAAAATTAAACAGATTATCAACCCGCTCCCCGAGTGACCATCGCCCCCTACTGGCCGACTCGTGCCCACGTGGCCCAGGTGACAGCTGCCGCTGGGGGTGCCCTTTCAAATGTGTTATTGATGAGATGTGAAACAGAGTCCGAATATTCATTTAGGCTGGAGGAATCCGATGAGCTATGAAGCTCTTTTTTACAGATGCCCAGGAGGGGCAGATCAGCTTTTACCCCTTAACTAGGCCTCGGCAAGGTAAGGTAAAAACATCGAGCCTACCTTTACCCTACCTTTTACCTTACCATAATACAATCACTCTACCCTGCCTTTTACCCTTCAGCAGGTAAGGTGAAAGGTAAAAGGTTAAAAGCAACGAGCCTACCTTTACCCTACCTTTTACCCTTACCCCATACAAATTACCCGATTACAGGGTAATTACTGGGGTACTACACATTAAAAAGGTTTATAACAGGTAAATGCTAGGTAGAGCGCTTTATTCATATAGAATACTCTCGATTATTCCAATTTTACACGCTTTCTTTAAACTCACTGTTGTTGTATCTTCAAATCTTGTAACTCAATTTTAACCCACTCCCCCAATGTGGTTTCGACTGAGAACTTGGTATACTTATGTCATACTGATGATAATACTATATTCTATCATTAAAAATAAAATAAAAATATTTTTAAACATAATTTTGTATATGTTATGTTTCGGCTTGGGTCTAATTGTCCACTGTCAACTCGCGTTGGCTGTAATTGTCCACGGTCCCCTTACGTTGTGGCAAGCTTCGGGGCCACTTACTGGAGTCGTGGAGTTCTGCCATTACTCGTAGATATCATAACAGCGTGTTTTTTAAAAAGTAAAAAAAATATTACTTATTAAATGTAGGCCACGGACTGCGCCACGGAGCTTCTAGCGGTAAACAAGGCACCGTATTTACCGGGTAATACTTTGCGCTACCTTGACCCTACCGGGTAAAACTTTGCGCTACCTTGACCCTACCCTTTACCTTACCCCCTGACATGTCGACACCTTTACCCTTTTACCCGGTAAAAAAAGGTAAATTACCTTACCTTGCCGAGGCCTACCCTTAACGCATGTAAAACGTTCAAAGGTGCCCCAGTGTAATGGGTAACATATCAAACACAAATCACTATAATCACAGCATTTGCTGCCGTTATATATTATACCAAACAGCGAATCTACGATTACCAAGAACAGGCTGTGTGCCAGAGGTGCCACATATGAACCAACCATGATAAATAGTACTGCATTTATTGCAATACTATACAGTAATTAAAATAACATTTCTCAGTACTTTGATTAGATATTGACAGCAGCTATCAAGACCATGTAATGGAAAGGTTTTAACAAAAAAAATCCATAATTGTGCAGAATTGATCTTTGAATTCAGGCCACTGCCGCCGTATTAGCGAGCCATTGAAAATCAATGAGACATTACAATCACCGTGCAAAGGCCAGATCACTCTTGCAAATGAGACTGATCCTTGCCTCTTTAGTTTATCCCTTGGTCAAACAAAATAACCTTGACGCTTGAAAGGTCCTGCTGTGAGCGATAATGAAACATGTACGGTGTATATCGGTACCTTCTTTGATGAAGCCATGCCCCAGGGACTTGGAGAACAATGATGGCCCAACAAACTGGTTCAGTCACCCGTCACTTATCACCAGAGGGCACCGCTGCCCCTCTCTATGTGCCCCCCCACTCCACCACTCCCTCTCAAAAATATAGTTTTTTTACGATCAGAGGAAACAAGAAGATGCTCGGTGTAGTCGGAACTTTGCTTCGTTTATCATTTAGTTTTTTTCAATGCTTTGCTTTATGTGCCCCCCCGCCCCCCCTCCTTTTTAAATGAAAGATTTAACAAAGATATTTTACGCTCTGCTCTCCTCCTTTGGTTTACTGGGCTCGATGGGTGGTTTCCTGCTCCCCTCGCGAGGCACGGCGGTTAATCTCCGTGTCGTGCGCTGCGGGCGGATCCGGGACTGGGTTGTTGTAGGTTTGTTGTTGTTGTTGGTTTTGATCGGAGACGCCGGGCATGCGCGCGTCGATCGGGCGGCTTGGCTTGCGTTCTAATGGCACGTCGAGCGTGGACCCCGAAGCCGGTTTTTTTTCGCGCACGTGTTCACTCACGTGCGGGCAGGGGACCCCCCCCCCCCCTGTGCAGCGCGGGTGTTGGATTCCGGACCCGCGGTGGTTGGGTTTTCCCACTTCTCTCGGTGTGAAGTGGTTTTCTTTGCACTTGTCCGTGCTGGGGGCCAGCAGCTCTATCGGTTGCTTTTGCTGCACACGCGATGACGCGCGAGGACCTGTCTCTGTGTTGGTGGCTGGGATCACCAGTGTCTGGTGGCGGTGCGTGGGTCGCACCTGGCCACGGATTGTTTTCTGTTTCCCGTGTTAGTGTCATTACGATACGATTTTTTCTTTTTGCAACGAAATGCACGCTTGCGTTGATGTTGACGCGGTTTTTTCTGACTGTGGCTGTTGTTGACGGTTCGCGCGAGGGTACGCACACGGACCTTGTGTATTGGATTCTGTTTATTGGAGACTCTCGCTGTGTGAAAACTGAAACCGCCAGAGCATTTGCTGCTGGGTAATAAAGGATTCAAAGGTCTTACCCCTTCCCTCTCTCTGTACCCCCTCTCTCTCTACCCCCCTCTCTCTCTACCCTCCTCTCACTCTCTACCCCCCTCTCTCTCTACCCCCCCCCCCTCTTTCTCTACCCCCTCTCTCTCTACCCCCCTCTCCCTGTACCCCCTCTCTCTACCCCCCCCCTCTCTCTACCCTCCTCTCTCTCTACCCCCCCTCTCTCTACCCTCCTCTCTCTCTACCCCCCCCCCTCTCTCTACCCCCCCTCTCTCTACCCCCCCTCCCTCTCTCTACCCCCCCTCTCTCTACCCCCTCTCTCTCTACCCCCTCTCTCTCTACCCCCTCTCCCTGTACCCCCTCTCTCTACTCCCTGTACCCCCTCTCTCTACCCCCCGCTCTCACTACCCCCCCTCTCTCTCTACCCCCTCTCCCTGTACCCCCTCTCTCTACCCCCTCTCTCTCTCTACTCCCTGTACCCCCTCTCTCTCTACCCCCCTCTCTCTACCCCCCTCTCTCTCTACCCCCCCTCTCTCTACCCCCCCCCTCTCTCCCCCCCTCTCTCTACCCCCTCTCTTTTCTTTTCTCTTCTTTTTACTTTTTTCCTTTCTAATCTTTTTAAATTATTTTTTCTTTCTTATTTTTTTCTAAAAAATACTTCTTTCATTCTTATTCTTTTATTTTTCCTTTTTTGTTTTTATTTATTGCCTTTCTTTTATTTTTAATAGATTTTTTTATTTTTCTATTTTTTTATTTTTCTTTATTTCTTTTTTCTATATCTTCTCTCTACTCCCATCTCTCCCTCCTCTATGTTCCCCATGTTTTCTATGCATCTGCACCCAGCCCTTCCTCTCTCACTCCACCAATCCAAGCCGCTTGTGGATAACCAGAGAACAAAGACCGACGGCCACTACTGCATCGCGCATCTTTCAGATGCGCTTCTGCGGCCGTCTGGAACGCTCTTGCTTCCTTCCGATATGAGGAAGCCACTGGGAGCTATGCACTTTTAGGTCATTTAGGTTGAAATCTAATTTCTTTAGAACTGCTTTTTGTGTTTAGTTTGTTGTCCTTCCCCCGCACCTCCGATTGGCATGGTTGGCTACGTACGGTGCGAAAGAGGTTCAACACGCATACGTCACGTCTCATAGCATTAAAATGATTTCATTTACATCTGTAACGCACAGTGCAATGCAATCTGTTATTAAACAATAACTATTTTGCTTGTGTAGGTTTACCAATAATCCTCATTTTCCCCATTGTGCCTAATTACTTAGCCAAGATGTCATCATTTTTTTCTCAGCCATTTTGTTGGGCTATCATGTGGTCAGGTCGCTTTTTGAACAATAAGTTAATACCTAAGTGGGCTTATTCTGGGAGGATGGGGATGGTAAATTTTTATTTGTATGTGTTTGTATTATTTGTTTACCTTTCTTATACTTTGCACTACAATCGTGTTTTTGTACTGGACATCTGTGAAAAAAAGAGCTTTAAAGCTCATCGGATTCCTCCTGCAGTACAAATAAATATTCCGATTCTGTTTTATTTATTTAAAGCTTTTGTGACTGCAGGGATTCGTATTCTTGGTTCTTTCGGTAAAGTCACGTAGAAGGGAAACAATAAAATAATAAAAATATAAAACAATAAAATTATCACGACGTTTTGACTGCAACACAAGCAATCATCATCAGATGTGAAAACCACAGCAAGAAAATTTGAAAAAAGTGGCGGGTTTTTTTAAACGGTAGCACCACGGAGAGCGATTTGGCAGTTATTCAGATGGACGAGTCCATTTATGTTCGAAAAAGAGGAGGGAGGAGATGAAAATAATGGATGCGATCTGAAAGCCACTGTAAGTGTAAACAATCAATTAAGAACCGAAATGGTTTATCAAATCCTTCCAATGATTGCTAAGCCATAATCCATCTTCTCAGTTGAAATTGTCTCTGTTTTTGTATATGTGGATAGCCTCATGAACGAATCTCTCATGGTAGCCAGATGGCTTGCAAAGAACCTCTGTCTTGGAGAACTCAAGCACGTACACCAAGCTCTTAAGGCTAATGGTTACTCCGACTATACAATCCGCAAAGCTATCACTCCAACCATTATGAAGGACCCTCTTGGGGAGCCTTTCAAAACCATCACTTTACCCTACATTGCGGGGATCACAAAAAAGATCTCCAAAATCTTGAATAAACACAAGATCCAGGTCCAATTCAACACATTACATAAAATCCGTGATCTGGTTCCGTCTGTAAAAGATGTGATTCCGGACATACAGTACCCTGGCGTCTACAAACTAAGTTGCCTCTGTGGTAGTAGTTACATTGGAGAAACCAAACGACATGTCTCGGACCGCATTCGTGAACACAAAGCAGACCTAAAACACGGTAGGACCAACACCTCGGCCGTGGCAGATCACTGTTATAATTCAGTAGGCTCACATGACATTGACTTCTCCAAGACAGAGGTTCTTTGCAAGCCATCTGGCTACCATGGGAGATTCGTTCATGAGGCTATCCACAAATACAAACACAGAGACAATTTCAACCGAGAAGATGGATTCTGGCTTAGCAATCATTGGAAGGATTTGATAAACCATATCGGGTCTTAATTGATTGTTCACGCTTACAGTGGCTTTCAGACAGCATACATTATTTTCGTCTCCCCCCTCCTCTTTTCCGAACATAGATGGATTCGTCCATTTGAACAAACTGTCAAATCGCTCTCCGTGGTGCTAACGTTAAAAAAATCCGCCACTTTTTTCAAATTTTCTTGCTGTGGTTTTCACACCTGATGATGATTGCTTGTGTTGCTGTCGAAACGTCGTGATAATTTTATTGTTTTATATTTTTATTATTTTATTGTTTCCCTTCTACGTGACTTTACCGAAAGAACAAAGAATATGTATTCCGATTTTGTTTAAATTCATCAGCGAGTTCAATGGGTTCGGCTGCGTCATGTTCCGGTGACGTCATGACGTCGCAGCGGTATCCGCGTCGCCGCATGGAAACGAGGAGGGGCCGACGTCATCACGCAGCGTGTAAACAAAAGGCGTCGCGTGCTATGACGGTGCACGGCGTCGCTTCGAACCGGCAGGCAGCGAGCACAGCCACCCCAACCAACCCCCTCCTCACCCTCCACACCCCCCTACCCCCACCCTACCCACCCCCTCCACACCCCCCTACCCCCACCCTACCCACCCCCTCCACACCCCCTACCCCCTCCACTACCCCCTCCACACCCCCTACCCGCACCCTCCACCCCCTCCACACCCCCCTACCCCCACCCTACCCACCCCCTCCACACCCCCACACCCTCCACCCCCTCCACACCCCCTACCCCCTCCACCCCACCCACCCCCGGCTCTCGTCGCCCCCCGTGGTGCAGCTGCGGCAAACTGCGACGGGCGGCCTCTGCTGCCCCCCGGCGGGCGAAGCGGGAGACGCGAGGGGGTTTCGTGCTCGCGGGTGACGATGGCGGTCAACGCGGCCGATCGCCGCGGCCTCGGCGGAGCCGCCGGGGAGCAGTAGCGGAGAGCGGCTCCCCTCCTCCTCCACCTCGTCGTCCTCCTCCTCGTCGTCGTCCTACTCCTCCACCTCGTCATGTTCAGCAAATCCAGGAGCTGGATCGGCGGCGCGGCCTCGCGAGCTCCCAGGGCCTTCCACTCCCTGGAGCAGCTCAAGTGAGGCCCTCCACTCCCCTCCCCCTACCGGGGCCTCGAGCTCCCGAGCCGGGGCCTCCACACAACCCGGACCTTCCTCTACCCCGGGTCTCTCTCTCCCTTCTCTTGCTGCTCCCCAGTCTGGGCCTCTCCCTCCCCTGCGCTGTCCCCCTACCCCTGCTGGTGTTGGTGTCTAGCCGGCTCCCCACCATGCCGAGCTCACCCCCTACCCGTGGGATCTGCTTACCCCGGCTCCCTACCCGGGCCTCACAAAGTACACCACACACACCAAGCTGACAGCACAGCCTCACGTAATAACACAGTACACCTTCATAGTACAACCTCACGTAACACAGTACATCTACATAGTACAACCTCACGTAACACAGTACATCTACATAGTACAACCTCACTAACACAGTACACCTTCATAGTACAACCTCATGTAACACAGTACACCTTCATAGTACAGCCTCACTAACACAGTA